TTTTTTTTTTTTTTTTTTTTTTTTTGAGACAGAGTCTCACTTTGTTGCCCAGGCTAGAGTGAGTGCCGTGGCATCAGCCTGGCTCACAGCAACCTCAATCTCCGGGGCTCAGCGATCCTACTGCCTCAGCCTCCCGAGTAGCTGGGACTACAGGCATGTGCCACCATGCCCGGCTAATTTTTTCTATATATATTTTTAGTTCGTCAATTAATTTATTTCTATTTTTGGTAGAGACGGGGTCTCGCTCAGGCTGGTTTCGAACTCCAGACCTTGAGCAATCTGCCCGCCTTGGCCTCCCAAAGTGCTAGGATTACAGGCGTGAGCCACCACGCCCGGCCCAACTAGGACTTTTATATATAACCTTTCCATTCTTTTTCTTTTTTTCTTTTTTTTTGGAGACAGTCTCACTGTGTTGCCCAGGCTAGAGTGCCGTAGCATCAGCCTAGCTCACAGCAGCCTCAAACTCCTGGGCTTAAGCAATCCTTCTGTCTCAGCCTCCCGAGTAGCTGGGACTACAGGCATGCACCACCATGCCCGGCTAATTTTTTCTATATATTTTTAGTTGGTCAATTAATTTATTTCTATTTTTTAGTAGAAACAGAGTCTCCCTGTTGCTCAGGCTGGTTTCGAACTCCTGACTTTGAGCGATCCACCCGCCTCGGCCTCCCGGAGGGCTAGGATTACAGGCGTGAGCCACCGTGCCCCGCCATCATTATTTTTCTTGAATTCAACATTTAAATAATCTCTTTGCCTCAGTATAATGACGTGTAAAACAACCAGTAACCAGGATTCCAAGTTAGTTGGTTAAGCTGCCCACAGTTAGAATTATAGGATTGAACATATCTTAAAGGGTTAATATGGCTAATTATTACTACCTTCGTCAGGAATTCAATTTCATTTTCATGCAGTATTTACTAGGCACCATGTACCTGGTGGTAAAGTGCTCAGGGAAAACTGGATGGATAGGAGTCGAACAGCCTTGGAGTGGGTAGGGAGGAAGGAACAGGGCTGGCATCCATCCTTGTCCAGGGCGACAGAAGGGGCAAAGACTCAGAGAAGGGCAGAGAGAAGCAGGCAGGTGTGGGGAGAAGGAGCCTTTAAGGAATTATAGGTAACAGGCTTATGTCGATGGGGCAGGCCAGTGAGAGCCAGACACGTGGGTTTGTATTCGATGAGGCAAATGGAGAGCCCTCAGAAATTAATACTAATATTTTTATCAAATTAATAATTTATTAAACTAATAAAATAAAAGTTTATTAAATTAATATTAAGATTTTTTTCAAGCAGAAACTATTCTTGGAGAATACTTTTGGTTATTTAGTTCTTTGCGTTAGTTTGGACTTGTGATCGTAAGAGATAAAAATCCAACTTTGAACTACCTTAGGCACCAAGGGGAGTTTACTGGATGATGAAATCCCCAAAATAGGGTTAAATACCTAAAAACGTGTGTATGGCAGGAGTGTCTCTGTGCCTCAAGTACCCCTGGATCCAGGGCCTGCATGCTGCCAGGACCCCTCCCATCCTGTCGGGGCCTCTTTGGTGTGTTGGCTTCATTCTCTTCCTCTGCAGACGGGATTTTTCAACTTGGCCACATGGTTACCAACATCATCCAAGTTCACATCGAGTGGCCTCAGCCAGCAGAGAGAGAGATGTGTCCTCTTGCCTCAAACTCAAAAATCTTAGGAAGAAGCTAGTGTCACCACGCCTGGGTTAGGTGCCACTGCTGGGTATTCAACTGTAACCAGAGTTGGCTTAAAGGAGAACATAGCAGTTCCCTGGGGCACACATAATTTTACTGACAGAAAAAGGGAAAGGCCTGAGCAAACAAAGCCAAAAGTATCCGTCACCCTCCTCCAAGTAGATGGCCTAAGTCAGCTGCAGCCAGATGTTATGTGATAATGGTAATGTTTTAATTAGAGCTTCTCACGATTTTTGTAATTGCTTTACTTAAAATAGAAAAGGCAAAACTTAGCCAGGCGCTGTGGCTCACGCCTGTAATCCTACACTCTGGGAGGCTGAGGTGGGCGGATTGCTCGAGGTCAGGAGTTCGAAACCAGCCTGAGCAAGAGCAAGACCCCGTCTCTACTATAAATAGAAAGAAATTAATTGGCCAACTAAATATATATAGAAAATTAGCCGGGCATGGTGGTGATGCCTGTAGTCCCAGCTACTCGGGAGGCTGAGGCAGAAGGATTGCTTGAGCCCAGGAGTGTGAGGTTGCTGTGAGCTAGGCTGACGCCACGGCACTCACTCTAGCCTGGGCAACAAGCGAGACTCTGTCTCAAAAAAAAAAAAAAAGAAAAAGAAAAGGCAAAACTTAAGCAAGGGGGGTTGGCTAAGTTGTTTGGATGACTTTAGCTTCTTGAATTACAACAATGTGCTGTTGTCTTCTGTGGCCTCTATTTCTTCCTCCATGAACATTTTAACTTGTAACTACTGTACAGAATTCTCCTCTATTATTAAAACAGTTCAGTAAACTGACTCAGAATCCTAATTACTGCGTCAAAGTTAGGAAGAAGGTGGAAGAAATGTTTAGAACCATAATTTAAAACTTAAACCACATGTGATAAATAATTCCCTAATCTTAAGAAGAGCATTGGAGAGCATTTTAAAGTCATAAAATTATTACCCCCTTTTAATTTTAGGACTATGAGAAACGGTTACGAGACAGAAATGTAATTGAAACCAAGGACCACATAGACACGCATAGGGCCGTGGTAGCCAAGTACCTCCAGCAGGTAAGAAAAATCATTTAAAACTGTATCTTCATAGAAGGAAAAGAGCAAACATCCTAAGATGGGAGGTTCTCTGTCTTATAAGTATCTATGTGATTTTAGGCAAGCCACTTAAGCTCTCTAGACTTACTTTCTCATAAATACAAACATGTAATTGACAATTTTCTTCACCTTTCGAATATATGAAACCACTAGGATATAAGCCTGTTTATTATCAGTGGTTATCCTAAATGAGGTATAATATAAAGAACTCCATTTCTAAGTCATGAGTTTTTTTCTAATATTTGAATGTTTGCATTTGAATGTTACATTATAACGTTTACCTTTATAATCAGAAAAAAACAAAAGTTTTTAAACCACATACTAACTGCCCTTATACACTAGAATACTAACAATTAAAGTTGAAATATCAGTCTGTCCTTTTTCCTTTTTTTTCCTTCTTTATTTTCTTTCCCTCCTTCCTTATTTTAATAAACTTAATCTTTTAAGAAATGCTACAGTCACTACAATGCATTTTTTTCCATCCAGTTTATCTATCTTGTGGCTCATATATAAAAAATATGATTATAAAAAAAAATATGATTATGACATTTAAGAGGTCGTCCTTTATTTAAATTAGGATGTGAATCATTGTGAATAAGGGAATAAGTAAAGATAAAGTTCTCAATTGTGTGTATTTTGAAATTGGTCTTGTTGTTTGTAATTGCTAATTCATTGATTCAGCAAAATTTTACTATTCTTTATATCAAGATCTTATCTAGGTCCGAATATAGCAGTAAACAAAACATAACAACCCGTGCCTTTATGGAGCTTTTAGTCTAGTTCAGAAAGCTAGAGGATTTACAGCAAAAGGAGGCCAGAGCTTCAGAAAAAAATTAATAGCTGGGTGACATTAAGGCAAAGACTCAGAGTGTAGGGAGTGACCTATGAAGTTTAAACAACAAGAACATTTTAAATAAAGCTGATTTCTTTCCCCAGGTTAGAGAATCAGTGATAAATCGTTTCTTAATTGCAAAACAACATTTTCTTCTTGCTGATTTGGTAGTAGAAGAAGAAGTTCCCAATATCAGGTAAAGATAATAAAACAAAGCCATTATTATCATTTCTTATAAAAAATATTATTTGTTCTTGTATGCATTTGGGCCCAGAATAATGCTGGAAACCTGCTAAACCTGATTAATGCCTAATGACATTAGTTAAGGGATCTCTATTAAGACAAGTCTCCCGGGAGCCTCTCCTATCACATTCCAGTAGAGACCATCCCACCTCCCACTACTTGCCAATCAACTTCAGCAGCCTCGGCCATCTTCGCATTCCAGCTGAACTAAAGCTGGATGCATTTCCCTCCTGCATGTACTCCTCCTGCTTCCCTGATCTCCCAGGGCCAGACTTTCCCTTAGCCTCCCATCACATAGCAGTGGAGGTGGCTGAGACCCGTCCACTGAGGTTCTGGGGTAGGTCGGGGAGGCCTGGTTCCAGCACTGACGCTGGGGAGGCAGAGAGCTGGTGCATGTGTTTGATGAGGGTAAAGGGCAGCAGAGAAAAAAGGATATTTACATGGAAGTTGGGAATTGACTGTATTTGCTTGATTGACCCTATTATTTCGAGTAATCCTCACTGGCTTCAACTAGGTTGGATGCATAAAAAGTGAAACACAACTTCCTATATTGGTTTTATGTGGTCCACTAACTTCACGATCTTTTTACTGTGATTAAGTCTCCTAAAAAGGTTTTTTCTATGTATTTACTTTCTATCCCCATCAATTTGAAAAGGAGACAAAAAATTGTGCTATCCATGGCAGCCCCTTTCTTTGGCTTTACCTCCATCCACATGTAGAAGGGAGGCTACACTCACGTAAATTCATGCAGGACCTCTCTCCATTCCAGGCCCAAGTCCAGTCACTGAATATTTTCACAGCCATGAAAATTACACCTAGACTAGATGATGATTTTTCATGCTGTTTTTTCTTTTCTTTTCCTTCTTTTTTTTTTTTTCTGCATTACTTTCTGCATTAAGTTCTGAAGGCTCAGGGTATGTTCTTTCTTCTTTTAATTTCAGTTTGTTCTTGGCTTTAAACTAAGATGTTTCTGTATTTAATGCTTCCAGCCAACATGGTGCTCCTATGCTGGCTGCTGTGGAGGCATTGGAGTCTCACGGGAGGAGTTGCCTCCAGGGGAGGGATGAAGTATTGATAAAGAAAGACCTTTGTCATGTTAGGACCCCTGGCAAAGTTGTGTCTCTGAGGCCCCCAAGTTTGTGTTAAGTGGGTACCCTGGCAGAGTGATTAAGAACACAGGCTAGGCCAGGCGCGCTGGCTCACGCCTCTAATCCCAGCACTCTGTGAGGCCGAGGCGGGAGGACTGCTCAAGGTCAGGAGTTCGAAACCAGCCTGAGCAAGAACGAGATCCCCTCTCTACTAAAAATAGAAAGAAATTAATTGGCCAACTAATAATATATAGAAAAAATTAGCTGGGCATGGTGGCACATGGCCTGTAGTCCCAGCTACTTGGGAGGCTAAGGCAGAAGGATTACTCGAGCCCAGGAGTTTGAGGTTGCTGTGAGCTAGGCTGATGCCACGGCACTCACTCTAACCTGAGCAACAGAGTGAGACTCTGTCTGAAAAAAAAAGAACACGGGCTATCTTGTCAGAGTGACCTGAGTTTGAACCTGTGTTCCCTTCCTACGACTAAGGAGTTTTCAGCAAACCATAACACCTCTCTGCGCCTCCAGTTTCTTCATCTGAGAAATGGGGTAAATATTATACTTGCAAGGATTAGAAATACTATATATAAGGGACCTGCCTAGTTCTCTTCTTGATACATGGAAGGTGCTTATAAATGGTAGCTATTCTGTGAATAATTCTGGAGAAGAAACTGTAACAGTAGCTCCTGGAAACTCCTTGGGATTCCTTATGGTGCCTAGACAGAGCTGCGGAGCCCTCATCCTTACCTGGTATGTGCCTCTTGCAAAGAGATGCTCCAGTCAAGAGACTGCTTAGCCAGCTCTCACACTCAACAGGGAGGCAGGTAAGCGCAGAGCCACGAGCACTGTGGCCTGTGGCCGGCTCTACAAGCTGGCTTTGTTCAGTGGCCATTTGGCATAATCATTAATGTCAGCTTCCAGATACAGACACAAAGTCACATCTGTGTTTCTGCTTAGTCTCTGAGCCAGACTTTATTTGCTCTGTGGACCTCTCTCCCATGATTCACTGACTCTATTGCTTTCAACCTCCAGGAAGTGTTTATTGCACGTCACCTCAGTGCAAGGTAGAGAGAGATACAAGAAGTACCCTTCTGCTCCTCCCACCCCCTTCATCCTGCCCCACCTCTGCCTCTTCCTTCACCATAACACCGCCATCATAATCATTGTCATGACCCCATTAGTTGCCATTTTAGGATATCTACTAAGTGCTAGACCAGGGCCACGGTGCTTTACACACACCTCCTCATTTAATCCTCTCAACAACCCCAAGAGCCCTACAGGTATTATAATATTATCCCTTTTACAGATGATGAAACAGAGGCTTAAAGAGGTGAAATAATTTGCCCAAGGGCAAAGAGTAGAGCTCTTTGAGAACTTCACACCCAGTTCTGTCTAACTCCAGAGAGCAACCTACTCTGGGAACTGCCCAAGCAGCTGTACACAGTGACAGTCATGTGAAGGGAGCTTGAGGCTTCCAACAGATGGGCTGGGTCTCTAGGGGAAAGGGAGGCACCGGCCCTGAGGGACGGGTAGAACCGTAATCAACTGGCAGGTGTGGAAGACGGAGGGAAGCATTCCTCATGCAGGGACTGGCACCAGCCAAGGTGAAGGGTCGGAGGGCACCAGGCAGTTTGAGGGACTGGTGGGCAAGTAAAGAGATGTAGGGGCCAGAATGTGGCTTTTCTTCCTCTGATAAGTAGCACCTAGAATAAATTTTAATAATCCATGCAGTAGGTTCTCCCTCATTTGGGAGGATTTCTACACTGTTTCCACCCTCCTTAAATGGACAAAGAGTTTTCAGGGGCCTGTGAGAGACCTTGGGGCAGAGCTTGGGAAATCATCTCACAATTTTCCGGACCTTTCTTTTCCTTAGAATCCTAATCATGTTCTGTAATCGTTAGCATTTTGGGCCTAAACCTTTTCAAGCTGGCCGAACAAAAGCGACCACTGAGGCCAAGGAGAAAAGGTCGGAAGAAGGTGACAGCCCAAAACCTGTCTGATGGAGACATAAGGCTGCTGGTGAATATAATCCGGGCTTATGACCTTCCAGTGAGGAAGCCAACAGCAAGGTGAGAACCCCCAGACAGCCCTGGAACGGAAAGTGCAGGATCCCAGCCAAGTCAATCCACTTCTTTATAGTTGATCACTCATTCTTAACATAGTTATTATTCAGCAGGGGTCTAGGGGTTCTTGCTGAAGCCAAGACCCTATTGTTTGCAAGCAGTAGAGCCCATTCAGTCAATCCAGGCTACAGGTGGGATTTAATGGGACATCTCATAGAACTCAAGGACAAGAGGCACAGCTGAACTACATGGTAGACTGCAGGGAGTAAGATGGTTCTCCTGAGGTCCCATTGTCTCTCCCACTTGTTTCTTTCCGAGTTTGCTTCATTTTTCTTTATGTCATGGAAGTGGTCCATGCAGCCAGGGTACCACCAACTAAGCATCATCTTCTTAGAAGGGAGTCTGGGAGTGCTAACTTGGTCAGGTGTCGATCAATGGTCTAATTGCCTACAGCCAGAGAGACAGAGTCAGAAGCACCAGCCCTGAAAGGTAGGGACAGTTCTCAGAGAAGTAGGTATGAGCTGGGCAGATACAGAAAAGGCATCTGTCCAAGGTTCTGAAACACACATGCTATGAGCTTAAAAATGTCACTTCCTTTTATCTGTTCAGAAAAATGAGTTACAACCACCATGGCTCACTACCCTGGGGGCCACAAGGAGCCTTCAACCATAGGGAAGATGAGTTGTATGCCCTTAGAGAACAGAGAAGGGGGGACCAAGAATCAAAACTTCTTTTTGCAAGTCCCTTACCAGTGTAATGAAAGAAAGTAGCATTTATCGTGCATTCACCATGCTCTAAGCACCATACTAGACACATTAACAAACATTAATTCATTTAACTCTTACTAATATTACTGTATCCATTTTGTAAAAGGGAAAATGGAAGCAAAGAGAATGCAAGTGGCTTGGCCAAGATCATTCAACACTGATTCCATAGAAGTGTACTGTTCTGGCCATTGCTATCTTCTTTCATTCCTAAGTTCTTTCCCTTTAAGTTATTTCTCCCTCGCTTCTTCCTCTTACCCCATTATTTCGCCCTACTTTTCTTTACTAATTCTTTGACCTATTCAGAACATCTTACCATCACTAGCTATTCCTATTGCTTTGCTACTTGTAAATGTCATGTAAGCCCTTGAATCTCTACTGTGGCATTGCTTTCTTGAGCCCATGGCCTACCTATCCTTTTCCCTGTTTGCCTCGAAGCTCGACTGTGGTGTGAAAGGCTGCTTTTTAAAAAGAACCTGTAGGTGTTTCTTTTATTTTTTGTCTCTATACAATATTTTTATGTTAAATCATTTCATTCAAATAATTCAAGGAAGGATAATTGATCCTACATGCTACACAATTCAATGGCGATGCATTAAGACAGCTCAGGTATAAACTTTCCATTAAGCCTGCCCAAATCTTCACCCTCTACCCGTGCATCCAACCAAAAAGGACTTTTCTCCTCCCTCACTGTGCTCCTACAGCCTACACCCATCCCTCTAGTCAACGTGTATCTCACTTTATTGAGATTGTTTACATGTCTTCCTTCCAGTCTAGTCTGAGCTGAAGTGTTATCCTATTCATCTTGAATCCCAGAGTCTAACACAGCTCCTAAAATATAGCAGGTACTATACAAATGTTTGTTTAATAATGTAACTGATGGTTTTCCCAAAAAAGGGGGGGTTTTCTCTAGTAGCTGTTGTGTTAAATGTTCTGCCTATATTGTCTCATAGTTTGTCTGTACGCTTAGCTATGAAAAGGTAGCAGATGGGTAAGAAAGAGACCATTTGTACTCTGCCCAGTAATGAATGTGAAATACTTGGCAAACCATAAAGTTTAGTACAAATATGCAAGTGGGTTGTTAGCAGGAAGGTGGAAAGTATTTGGAAGAGGCTCTCTGGAGATGACCTTCATTTGTTTTTTTAAGAATGGCAGCTGAGAACGGAGAAGAGGGTAAGACCTGCTCGCTGATCCTAACTCAAGCTAGGAGTCCCTGCACCTCCCTTTCCCAGAGAGGCTCTGCAGGCCCAGAGAAAGATCCTCACGTGGGATATGTAGCTTGGAGTCACTATAGAGTGCAGGTTCAAAGAAAACACAGTGGAAAAGAACCTGGACTGGGCGGGGGCAGGGCAGGCTGGTCAGGAAGGTCGGGACCTCCTGCCTGAGAGGGATTGAGGCTCTCATTTATGGAGGGAGACAGGTCCCCACTCAGTCATTCCCTGGAGGGGAGGAGAAGACAGAAGGAAACATTTTCCTCTGTTCTCAGCCAAACACACAGGCCTAGGAATGGAAGTTGGGGAAAGCTCTAGTAATCACTAAGTGACTGAGGGGGACTCAAGCATACTGAAAGCCTTCTAAAATGTCAACAAGCTTAAGAATGTCTGTTACCATAGCCACCGGGGCCGTGTATAATTAGACTGTCCCTGTCATTTATTTCTTTCATGCATTTTTCTCTCCTAGCAAATTCCAGCAGCCATCCAGGTCTTCAAGGACATTCAGGGAAAAGCATGCTGCTTCCCCAGACACACGAAGCCCCACCCACAGTGCTGACTACCCCCTCGGCCAGGTGAGAGACCCAGGTGCAGGATTTCAGCTTGGAATCCTGCCCCTTAGGTTTTTAAGAATCACCTATACGCTTCATGAATGCTCTGCTTTCTGCTTCATTTTCTTTGAAAACACACTATTCAGCAAACATATTCTACTTTTGCTAATAATAAAATAATTCAACTAGTCATTACGGATTCTTAGGATTTGCTCTTGATTTTCAGGTTTTAGTACGTCCTTTTGTAGAAGTCTCTTTTCAACGAACGATTTGCCACACAACCACAGCTGAAGGACCAAACCCCAGTTGGAATGAAGAACTTGAACTTCCATTTAGGTAAGCATATTTTCCTCTTTAGAGAACGATAGGATATTTTGAAGAAACATGAAGGAAACAGGGGTTCAGTGAGAAATGGCTAAGGTGAAAGGTTTTGTAGCCGGCAAGCTGGAACAAGAACCAGGTGTCCTGATACCAAGTGTTTTCCCTCTTGTACTAGAGCTGACTTCACTCAAAAATAAAAATGGGAAAGTGTCCAACTTGTGAAACTCAAGTCCTTTGTTAAGATACTCTACTCCTCTCCAGGCTCTGGATTCTTATAGCCCAAAGTTTTTCACTCCTTTGAGCCTACTGCCCTACTCTACTTTTTCCTTGCTTCCTCACATCTCCTCAAGTAAATTTGAAACTGCTTATTTCCTATAAATTACACTTTCTCCCTCACCAGAAATACATAGGCATTTCAGAACCTTGTTCAAAGGACTTATATACTTAAAATGCTCTTGTTATTTCAGTACTTGAAGTGACTTTAGAGATTATCTGGCCCACGTTCTACTTGTATGGAGAAGAAACTAAAACCCAAAGAGGGAAAGGTGGCTTAATTAAAGTCACACAGCAAATTAGAGACAGAGTAAGCATTAGACCTGGTAAAGTCAGAAGAGGGGGATAGATCTCACTATCATACATGGAGCAAGCAAAAAGAACAAAATAACTTAAGGGCAAATGCTCAACAAAATGCACACAGTACCCCAGTCTCCAGCTGTGCCAAGGAGAGGCATGCTTAGGCTGGCCTTGGCTGGACCCAGGGTAGGTTACATCACAGGAAACAAAACTCACCCTTGAATTGGCTTTACTTATTTACGGGGAAAGTGAGTGGGAGGCAGGGACCACTCAACCAGCCATAGAACAGTAGGTTTATCACTAGGGAATGGCCTTGCTGGAGAAGCACCTTCTGGAGCCCAGTTGCTTAGGAAGTCCACATACTAGCTCCTCCAGTGTCAGCTAGAGGCCGGGCAGCCTGTCCTCTGACCCCGCTGAGTTCTGGCAAGCTGGCTCCCTGCAAAGCTTACTCCGGGTTCTGGGGTGAAGGGTGACGGTGAGACCCATCGAGACAAGCCAGCAGAGGGTTTCTCTCTGCATGGAGCCTCCAGTCTAATGTTCTTTCCATTTGAATGTAGATATCACATTACAGAATCCCTGCACAAGATAAACCCTGGAAATAAAAGCACTGCTTTTTATCCTTACATCTATGCTCATATTTGGGTATTTTTCAGATGTTGACATTTGAACAGTGTTCATCATTTGTATTTTGCCTGTTTTTCACAGTCCCTGGTCATGTGTTATTTTACAGGGCTCCTAACGGGGATTATAGCACAGCCAGTCTGCAGTCAGTAAAAGATGTTGTGTTCATTAATATTTTCGATGAAGTACTATATGATGTCTTAGAGGTAAGTTATCAGTTTTGAGGAAGACATTTGTACTCATATTCATATTCTCTACCCACTATATAAGTTCTAAACACACTTTCTACCTCTCTTATGTTTTTTTTTAATTCATATAAACATTAGTTTAAAATACTTTAGACAGGTTTTTAGGCAAATTACAAATAATTACATTAAACAAAAATCAAAACCAACACATTGGCCAGGTGCGTGGCTCATACCTGTAGTCCTAGCACTCTGGGAGGCCGAGGCAGGAGGATCGCTCAAGGACAGGAGTTCAAAATCAGCCTGAGCAAGAGCAAGACCCCATCTCTACTATAAATAGAAACAAATTAATTGGCCAACTAAAAATATATAGAAAAAATTAGCCGGGCATGGTGGCACATGCCTGTAGTCTCAGCCACTTGGGAGGCTGAGGCAGAAGGATTGCTTGAGCCCAGGACTGTGAGGTTGCTGTGAGCTAGGCTGATGCCATGGCACTCTAGCCTGGGCAACAGAGTGAGATTCTGTCTCAAAAAAAAAAAAAAAAACCAACACATCCCTCTTGAGTGACATCTAAAATAGCTTGTTTCTGCACATTTTATACTGGTTATTTAATTACTTGCAAAATCAGGTATACTTGTGAATGGGGAAAAAACCAAAATCGACTAGTTTTGACTTCACAAGCATTGACCATATTTTCTCAACATAGCTGCCAACATTCAGCTCCTTCTGGAATTAATTGGAGGCATAAGGCTGAGTAATCTGTCACCTCTCATGGGGTGACATGAAAATTTGAATTTGTAACCGATTCCATAGGAATCAAAAGTCTTTAATATTAGAACAGGCTTTTCTATTCAAAGGGCAGTTTTAAAAAAGGCATCAAGTATGACCCCAATTTTTCCAGTCATGTGCAAAAGATCCAAACGATCTCTGTCCAAACAAGGAAGTCAGTTTACCAGCTCTTTGCTAATTAAAGGATGCACAACTAAGTATCATCGATGTCCATAGTGAAGCACAGCTCCTCTTCTTTACCCAAAGAGTTATTTGGAGTTGTTAACGAATTCTGCAAAACAAGATATTAACCTATCAGGAAGTGAAAGAAACTAAAGACGAATTAAGATCAAAATTGAGTGCTCTAGCCATCTGTCTGCTGCATGGTTTATCTCCCCAGTCATTGTCCACAGGACTCTGAGAAATTGTAGGAATATGCAGGTCCTTTCTTATGTTTGAAACATTTGAAAAGAGATGTATAAATGGGGAAGGGGGAGGAGAAAGAGAGCTAGCTTTTTTTTTTTTTTTTTTTTTTGAGATAGAGTCTTGCTTTGTTGCCCAGGCTAGAGTGAGTGCCGTGGTGGCAGCCTAGCTCACAGCAACCTCAAACTCCTGGGCTCAAGCAATCCTTCTGCCTCAGCCTCCCTAGTAGCTGGGACTACAGGCATGCGCCACCATGCCCGGCTAGTTTTTTCTACATATATTAGTTGTCCAATTAATTTGTTTCTATTTATAGCAGAGACGGGGTCTTGCTCTTGCTCAAGCTGGTTTCGAACTCCTGACCTTGAGCAATCCACCCACCTTGGCCTCCCAGAGTGCTAGGATTACAGGCGTGAGCCACCACGCCGGCCGAGAGCTAGCTTTTTAATTTGCAGTCTAGTGTTCTATTCCAGGAGTTGTACTAGGTGTTTTACATACACTGTCTTATTTAATTCTAAATAGTTCTAAAGGTTGCTAAATCTCTAGTGTATTGATGAGAAAACTGAGAGGTCAAATGACTTTCCTAGGGTCACAAAGCCATTAAATGTTAGAATTTGATTAGGTCTATCTAATCTAAGTTCACATGCTTTTAGCTAAAACCTTGCTGTTTTCCTGCTACACAGTTAATTAAATGAGTGTCTGGAGTCCTTAAACAATTATTACTTCCCACTCTTCCTTTAGGATGACCGGGAAAGAGGAAATGGAATCCATACCCGCATCGAGAGACACTGGTTGGGATGTGTGAAAATTCCATTTAGCACAATATATTTTCAAGCAAGGGTAAGCATCTAAGGTCAGAATTCTATGAAAATAGGGAACTGCTGTATCCATTTTTCCTAATAAAACTTTGGGAGGATATCCCCTCAACACTGAGAAAATATATGTGCAAAGCCCTTAAAAAGATTTAATAAAACACTATATAATGCCATTGATCTTCCATAATATTTGCATGATTTATTATCTATGCTCCTTAGAATTAGTAGTTAATGTATGACTGTTCAAATCTGAGAATTTTTTAAACATTAAATACAAGTGAAGAAGGTGGGACAAAGTAGAAACTTGTCAAAATGACAAAAGTAGAATGGATAGATGCCTGAATTTAACTTGAAGAAAACAGGGCAGTTGATGGCCCATTCAATCAAGTGCATTTTATTAATATTTCTAGTCTTCACTATTTAAAACATGAAAAATGGTTAGCAGAAATATGCTTAACAAAGACACCCTTCTCCAGGGTTAATGGTTTTGCTTAAGGGGATCCATCAGGTTGTCAACTCTTGAATGACTTAGTAGCTATAATCTGGGACAGTTAAAGATTTTAAAATTGCTTTAACATTCCAGTATTAAGTCTACGGCAACAGGAGGCTTTGAATCACTGTGACAACCACACAGAGCAAGTGCTGCCTGGACCACAGAGTCTCCGGCAAGACCAAGACCAAACTCAAGGCTAAAAGGCTTAGATTGGTTCTAATCTAAAGGATCAATTAAAATTGCAATCCGCCCTAGGCAAAAGGGACAATCTACAGGTTATGCAGTGATGTGCTTGCCAAAAGAGTTTACATTTCTCTGTCCAAAGAGATTTTAAATGGGGGGAAAAAACTTAAAGAGCACATCATTCTCAAGTCAAACAGCCTATGATATTTGGCCTTGCTGGATTTCACATTTGGAAGAGTACTCAGAAGTAATTACCCTAGACTCCTTGATAAGTGAATCTTCTTTACTATATCCCAGGAATGTCCATGCTCTCTTTTGAGTGCCTCAAGAATTCACTTGCAGGAAACTCACTACCTTGTCAGGCAAGGTAGTATTCTCTTTCTCTTGATCTCTTTCCAATAGTTTTGTCATTAAACTCTTTCTTGGACTGTGCCATAATCTATGTACTTCCCTGTTATTCCCATTTTTAGGTCCTGGTTCAGTTCTCTTGAGCTACATATAACAAGTAGAATCCTGATTCAGTAATGATAATACTAATAAGTATATTTATTGGGCACATATTATATACTATTGCTAAGTAGTTTATATGTCACTCTATTAAACCTCACAGCACAATTGGCATCATCATCCCCACTCTATAGATGAAGAAACAGAAGTGCAGAGAGGTGAAGCAACTTACTCAAATCAGAAAGCTCACAACACTAGAAACAGAAATACCATTCGACCCCGCAATAGCATCGTTGGGCATCTACCCAAAAGAGCATAAGACATTCTATTATAAAGACATCTGCACCCGAATGTTTATAGCAGCACAATTCACTATTGCACGATCATGGAAACAACCCAAGAGCCCATCAATTCATGAGTGGATAATTAAAATGTGGTATATCCTCACAATGGAATATTACTCAATCCTAAGAAATGACGGTGAGCTAGCACCATTTATGCTATCCTGGATTAAGCTTAAGCCCATTATCCAAAGTGAGGTGACACAAGACATGGAAAATGGGCATGTACTCGCCATCAAATTGGTACTAACTGATTAAAACTATGGTTTTCAAATGGTGGCAATGCTCACCAGGGATTTGGGGGGAGGAACAACCCAATCTTAGGGAGGTGGCGAGTATTTTGGAGGGGAAGGGCATAACTCTAACCCTTCTTAGGGGGAGGCGAAGATATACAATGTAACCAAAATGTCAAAAAAGAAAATGAAAACAAAACATTTTATCAGGTGGTGGGCAGGTGGTAGGAGGGAGGAGGAAAGGGGTGTATGCTTCCACAACGTATGTGATGCACACCACCGGGGGATTGGACACATCGGGGGGAGGGAGGGGGGGCAGGGGCAATATTTGTAACCCTAACAATATTTGTACCTCCATAATACAATGAAATAAATTTTAAAAATTAATAATAAAAAAAAGAAAGCTCACAACAGAGTTGGCATTCAACTTTTACCAACTTTCATTTCAACATGCTGATGTTGCTCATGCCTGGGAAATGAGATTGGTAAAAGGAGAGAAAACTATTCAATTTTTTGGTTTACATTTTAATATATCCTTGGTTAATGATTTTATTACATTTTTCATCTAAAAAGCTTTATCTGACTTCGAAGTTCATGCTTTTACATGTACCTACAGGGAACATCTGGCAATGTCCGAAGACATTTTGGGTTGTCACAACTAGGAAGGGATGCCATGGCATCTAGTGTGCAGAGGCTAGGGACGCTGCCAAACACTCTGCAATGCACAGGGCGGCCCTCTATAACAAATTATGATTTGGCCCCAAATATCAACAGTGCCCACGTTGAGAAACCCTGTCTTAAATCCTTATACTCCACATCTTTAAAAATAGTATGTTTCTTCCTGTGTCATCTGTTTTATAGAATAAATGTGCTCAGTTATTTCAGCTGTATTTTTTGTCATTGTTTTCATACTGTTGTTTTCCCTATACCCTGTCATCTGATTGGGTACAGGCTTTGGTGAATTCTGTCGATATAAGGAGGAAAATAGATAATAACTTACGTAATTCATCCCTAGAAGGGCATATTCACTGAAAGTTTGAGTTCTTTTTCTATTTCTCCTGAGATATGAATGCCACTGATGACTGAAATAAAAAAATGAATCCTCTGCAAATTGTGAATTTCAAATTCCAGCCCTGAATAGTTTTGTGGTACTAGACAGTCTTTCATAAATTTATTGTTGCTTTGGCTTCATAAGAGTAAAAATGTTCTGCCTCTTTGAACCTCTGTATAACTTAGTCCTTTTTATGGAAGTGGCTTGTCATCATTCAGCCCACATTTATTGGGCATCTACTATGTATACAAAACACTGCTGTATGTCAGAGAAGGATGATACAAAAGAGTGTAAAATATAGATTCTGTTCACAGAGAGCAATTATCTAGAAGACTATGACAAATATGCACACAATTATAAAGTCAGACAGAATGTAAGAAATGAATGAAACAAACTATCTGTGAGGGTAGTGAGACAACATATGACCTAAGCCTTGAAAAATGATTAAAATTCTGAAAGGTGGAGGAGATGGGAAGCTGGGCATTCCAGAAATGGGGAATAGCTGCTAGCCAGTATTTGTTGAGTGCTTACTATACACCACACATTTTTCTTAGTGTTTGACATCTATTAATTCATTTAGTACTCATAGCAACCCTACAAAGTAGGTATTATTATCATCTCTTTTTAAAAATGAGGAAGCTGAGACACTTGGAGTTTAAACCAGGATTTGAACCCAAGCAACTTGCATAACCCTCTACTAAACAAAGAAAAGGAGGCAGGGAAATATACAGCCCTTTCTGGCGAGAGATTAGGGAGACAAGGTCGGAATGATGGGGTGAGCTTTTAATGCCAGTCTGAGCAGTTTGTATTTAATTCATTAGACAGTGAGGAGTTGATACTTGTCTTTGAATTTCTGTTGGAAAAATTGCCAGGATGTTTACCAAGTCATATTTTCTTCACAGATCGATGGAACATTCAAAATAGATATTCCCCCAGTTCTTCTGGGCTACAGTAAGGAGCAAAACATGATTATTGAGCGGGACTTTGATTCTGTCCGAAGCTTAAGTGAAGGGTCCTACATCACCCTGTTTATTACCATTGAGCCACAGTTGGTTCCTGGAGAGTCAGTTCGAGAAAAGGTAACTGTTCACAGTTTGGAAAACCATGTCTGATGTTGATAAAACATGAGAAATGCTCGCTAGGTTATGCTTTTATAAACTTTGCACTATACAAACAGGTTTTACTTAACTTCCATGTTCACTTATAATTCCTTCAGTTTGGACAGAATTATGGTGAGAGAACAGATGTGTGGGTCTGTACTTTCATTGAGCCCATAATTAGGTCAATCAGCAACTCACACTTTTAGGCAAAGCAAGACAAAGATAAACACGCTCTGCTTTTAGAATAATTTTCTCAAAGTGAAGAAAACAAAATATAACAAATGAGAAAATCAGATTGCTCTTTTGTTTGACATTTCTTGGCAAGCATGCTGAAATACATTTCCATGTCTGACTTCACATCCTTGGCTGTGCTACGCATTGAATCAATTAATAGGATCATAAGAGTAAATGACCTTCCTGGGTCATCTCAATTCATTTTATGAAACAAATATATATACAAGTACTCTTTTAAACAGCTCTAGAAAAAATATTTTCTAGAACTTTTATTTGTTAGCAACTGTTCACCAACCTTCATCATTGAGAAATAACTTGCTTAATGTAACATACTTGTGCAGCATTTATGCATACTGCCCTCATTGGATTTGGGAGAAAATGTTGTGACCACTTATTCGTATGTAAACGAATACAGTATTAACAATCACCGCCACCACCAAGTTCTATTGAGTCCTTACTCTGTCCTCTGTACTATGTTAGACCTTGGATACATGTTCTGTCCTTTAATATTTACAGATGTCATGGATAATGGGTCTCCAACTTACAGATGAGGAAAATAAGGCTCAATTTATCCAGGGTCACACAGGCACACATGTTAAGGCATAACACTTAAATGTCTGTCTGACTTTAAATTGTATATATTCAACACATATTTGCTGTACATCTTCTGCATGACAGGCATGTTTTAGGCAGTGGGGTGCAGTATCCTAGAGAAAAATAAAAATTGTGCTAAGCTTATATTCACTTGTTACTGCAAGTTGTTAACTACCAACCATACTGCACAGATTATCATGCTGACTCTTTATCCATTGTGATTAAGACTCAGATGGAGATGAAGGAAAATGAGCACATTCCTGTTTCTTTTTACGGTATTACAATTTTGTTCACAGAGGAAAAATAATATCGCTACCTCCCATTTGCAAGTCATTTACAAAAAGACACGAAAAATTATTAGAAAAATGTACTGAAATTCAAATTAATCTTACTTGCTAGGCTTTATCACTAAAGCTGTGGTTCTCTAAAAGACATTAGAATATACACATTTCAATATATTTTTAGAAAAGAAAATATATTTTCCGAATGTTTGTATTCACGTGTAAATTTAAGAGAAAGCCAACAAACATGTTTACACAGAGAAATGCTCCCAGACGATAGATGATTTTGTTATTTCTGTGTACACTTAACCAAAGAAAAAATAGTCAGCTAGCACCCCATCTGGAAGTGAGCTTTGAAAACACATGGAAGCAGCCTGTGGCTGGCAGAAATGATGAAAACCTGGGGCTCTTCTACACTAAGCATTCCTCACAGGTCCCCAAACTTCTGTTGGAGGACTTTGAAGAGGCCTCCAGGGCTCCGAAACATACAGTCCTCAGGTCCTGCAGCCATCCTCTCTCAAGCTGTTGACTAGCAGTCAGCCACTATATTTGGTGGCATGTCACTGCCCAGTTGTGGCTGTATTAAGCATTTCTCTTAGACCTCTAAAACAAGGGCTTAAAAACTTCCTATGGAAGGCAGATTCTTTGGGGCTGTTTGAGAAGAAAGGAATGCTGATTGACAGGACCCTAATGTCTAAACAGCCCTGGCAGAAAACACCACTTAGTCATCCACCGGAAGACCATTCAGGAAAGAGAAGCTCTTATCCTAAAATAATAGAGACCACAACCGGGAATTATTTTTCCGCTTATAGCAATTTCCAGGGTTAGCAGATTAGAGTCTCCCCTCTACCACCATCCGATACATAGCCATTCTGTAGGATGTTTTAAAGGTATTTACCATGGGAAAATGTTTATAAATCAGTAGCAACTCCTGAAACTCTTATTTTAATATCATCTACCTTGTCTTGGTTAAGAACAAGTTGTTAAAAATAGATTTCTGTTAATAAAGCCTTCCTCTCATTTCTTTTTCTTTCTTTCTTTCTTGCCTCTGATAGATGAATGACATGCTTAAAAAGGTACCACGTATTTTGTTTTACAATTCATCAGTCAATAGTTATTAGGCTTTAATTAGCTGCTTTTGTCCACTGCCCTCTGGGGACAGGTACGAGGTCCTATATATGTGTGATCCCTGGGCAAGGAATTATAGACGTCTGCAGTTCCATGAAGAATGTCCAGCTTTGTTTTTCGGCCCATTTCATTTTTTCAGAAAGATTCTTAGTTATACTAGCTTTGAATCTAAGAAATCACTCCACTGTTTCCAAATCCATAAAATCCAAGAGCCGCTTCTTACAGAGAGTGCATCTCTGACAATTATTTCCGGTGGCTTGAGGCTGTCACAGTGTAACTATTTAAAGGCAGGATAAACTCACTTGCTTTTCTGTAAATGTTTACATTAACCTAGAGGTCAAAAAATTGAGCCAGTTAAGAACCTTTTAAATTTTGTGTTGAATTTGTCAGTTCCACCTTAATTTGTTTCATAATAAATAACTCAAGTTCTTTTAGTATTTTGCTTTTCCTTGGCACTTCTTAGATTACCAATATAACATAGTACTCCTTCAATTCCTGTTTTACTCCAGGAAATGGCATACTGGTGGCCTAAACAAGTATAATGAGTCTTAACAGATAGGCATTAAATGCTCACCATGTGCATGCTAGGTGCAGGAAAGAACACACACTTATTCAAACACAGGCCCTGCCCTCACACAGCAGTAGTTATAGAGTCAAAGTACACAGCAGAGCACTCAAGTCCAAGTGGTTGAAAAATCTTTAGACATAGTTTTTTCAACTTGGAAGGCCAATAATCAATACTGATTTAAGTTTTTTGGCTCTTTTTGGACAGTGCCTATAGATGTCTCTCTTAAAATACTCCCATAGCACCCTATGTATATCCTCATAGGATCTTTGGTCAAGTATTTTAAATATCTGATTGCTTATTAATGTTCTCCTGTAGACTAGAAGTTCCTTAAGGGGATTGTTTCATACCCATTTATCCAGAGTGCCTGGAACTTTTTAGTCGCCCACTAAACATTTTTCACATAATTGGATGAATGGGTAAATGGAAGAGTTTAAAAGAACAGGGATGAATTCAACTGCGTGGTTTTTTTTCACATCATTCTTATAATTCTTCATATTTCTATAATTACAATTATTTCTGGTTTGACAGTTCCATCCTAGGAATTCATGGCACACCCACATCAAAGCCTTATGAGCTCACATTTTTAATTTAATTATTTCTTTATCTTAGTCCCTCTTGGGTAGCTACTGTGTCTTGGCACTATGCTGAATGGTAGGCAGCTAAAACGATTATGTTAAGATTCAGGTGTCGGGGATGTCCCGTGAGAAAATATAGAAGGCTCCTGGAGATGTCTCCATCCAAAATAACCCCACAACCACTACTGCAACTTCTTGGGGTACTATGATCAAATTAGAAATGAAAGCCACAGTCCAGCCCCAATATAAGAGGAAGTCAAGAACAACTGGAATAATCTAGATTCTATCTGAGGTCACAAAAAATGTAATAAAATGTTTTACATTCACTCAACAGTATTTGTTTAACACTTATTATGTGCTAGGTAGTATTCTTGGCACTAGAAGTGAAAAAAAATGAGATTGAAATAAAATCCCTGACTTCAGGAGTCTTATACTATGGGGGAGACAGAGTAAACAAACATATGTGTCAGTGGCTATAAGTGTTAAAAAGAAAAATATCAAGTCAGTGACAAGTTGAACTAAATAAAAAAATAAATGAAGCAGAGTAAAGGGGGATAGATGGGTCCCTCCTCAAAAAGAAAAAAAAAAAATCAAGCACTTCCTCTAAATTCTACTTAAAATTAATTTTTAATATTTTTAGTTGTCCTTGGCTTTCTAAATAAATAAAAAATCAATATTTTTAGTTGTCTTGAAATCCTTTGAAATGTAAGCAACCAGGCATATACTTTCATACCAAACAATAAGAATCTTGTAAAAACTTTTAAATATCTGCCCTTTTTCGTGCTGTTTTTATTAACAATGGCTCGAGTAGGGAAAAAAATGACAATATATGTTCTAAAGGTAATTTAAATGTGTTCCATTTCATGTGCTTTGAGTTACTTTTAAAAAGTCTGGTGAGGTTCAGTGACTCACATCTATAAACCCAGCAGTTTGGGAGGGGTGCTTGAGGACAGGAGTTTGAGACCAGCCTAGGCAATACAGTAAGACCCTATATCTCTAAAAAAAAATTTTATTTTAAAAATTATCTGGGTGTGGCGGCACACACTTGTAGTCCCAGCTACTCAGGAGGCTGAAGCAGGAGGAGCTGTAGGCTATAGTGAGCTGTGATCAAGCCACTGCACCCCAACCTTGGGGAGAGAGTGAGATCATATGTCTAAAAAACAAAGACAAAACAAAATCTGGGAATTGGTTGCTCATCTTGGATCAGAGAACCACTTAAAATAATAGTATTTGATGTTTCTGGTTCTGCTCTTTTTTCTTTGAAATCCATTACTATTATTTACAGTGCTTACGGACTTGAAACTTTTTAACGTATCCAGATATCTCTATAAATTTGCAGTCCACTTAATATGAGTTGCATTAAGTTCTGCATTTGAGACGTTAGATTTTCTGAGCAACCCCCCCATTTAAAACCAACATCAAAATACACGTAAAACTCTATTGCTTCACCTCATAAATCGGAATCAGTGCATCACACTTTAATTTTTATAGATTGTTTGTCTTTAGCCATACCACCCTGAAGGTGCCTCATCTCGGAAGCTAAGCAGGGTCGGGCCTGGTTAGTACTTGGATGGGAGATTATTTTATTAATCTAGTAGTTTCCATATGGCTACTTATCTGTTAACTACTTTCTTTCAATCCTGTTGAATAAATTTTAAGTATGTAATGAATCAGTCTGATTTTTAAACTATAAATATAATTTAAATAAAACTGCAGAGACACCAGGACATGATGATTTTAGGAGTCACTTAATCATACCTCCCAAGCCATTCACTTGGTTCACATTGACTACGGAATCTGAACATGTTCTACTTTCTCTCTTGTAATCATATATAAACTTCACGGAGTCTTTCTTTTTGAAGTTTGATTCTCAGGAAGATGAGAAATTGCTTCAAGCAACAGAGAAGTTTCAAGCTGAATGTGCCTTAAAGTTTCCAAAACGTCAGTGCCTTGCAACAGTAATTGACATAAGTGGCAAGACTGTTTTTATTACACGCTATCTCAAACCTTTAAACCCTCCCCAGGAGCTCCTTAATATCTACCCCAATAATCCACAAGCAACTGCAGTAAGTATTTCATAGCCAGTCAGTATTGTTGCTAAAAATGTTTTCAAATTTCAATATATTGCCATTTTAATTACTACATTTCATAGTACTTAAGATATTAACTATATCAAAATCACTGGGGATAAAAGTAATGATTAAAAGCTTATTAACATGAGGCTTGCTTTCTTTAGAAAAGTCTAATGGTACTAAGAATGATAATAATCCTTAGTTTGTTGTTTCAACAATTATTAAGTGGTACTATATGACGTGTTAGAAGATACTCTAAACTTTCAAAATGTCTTATATGTTTTTATTATGTATTCACAATAATTTTGTTAGGATTTGAACTGATGCCTGTAACTTTGGAACTCATGTACTTTCTAATATATAAGATAGCTGTATTCGGTATTATGCCTGATGCTATAAGCATTACCGAATTCAAAATAAGCAAAAATTATTTCAAAAATTTAAGTGTTTTCAGTATTTAGGTCATCATGCCAAAGTACATCTATACTGGGCCATAAAATATATATGTACCATTCTCTGGCTTCAAAGCACCATACGTGAAACAAAAGCCATATGTAACCAGGCTAGTTATAAGCAAATACTGCAACCTATAACTGTCCTTGAAGAGTGAATAGTATAGAGAGTAATTGCTGCTAATAGTAACATAGGAATTTAGAAACAAGGTAATAATAGTATATCTATTTGAAGACATAGATGTACCAAAAAACACCTTGTATCCTACATTTTTTTTAATTGATCAATTTTTATAGAAAACCATAATAGGGACTTCTATCTACCTAGCATAGTATATGTGCAGAAAATTTCTCCCAGAAGAGAACACTTAAGAGTGATGAATAAAACATTTAAAATATTTTCAAAATCATAGCTGAATAGAAATGGGAGTGGGGGGAAGAGATAAGAAATAACAAGAAAGCAAGATTCCACAAGGCTGAGGGCTTGAAATAGTGTTTGATCTCAGGTTGTCTATAATTCTTGATGACCAGGGCTGGATTTCAATGAGCCACAGGGCTGTGGGAGACAGGAGATTATGCATGGAGCTGCAGCAGGCTGGAAGGGTGAATTACTGACTCAGCACAGAGATTTGTCAGGAGTAATGTCATCAATGAGCAAACTAGGAAATCCCCTGCCTTCAGAAGGAATCCTGCCTGTCTTGACTTGGATGCAAGAGAAAAAAAGAAAGTCTCTCCTGAGAATTTCTAATCACTATTCTAAATTTACTCACATTTTAGGACTGGAATTTACATTACCTACATGATCCAAATATATTTCAACTGAAAATTAAGTTGAAAGTATTTCCTGTTGGTATTGCCCCTAGATCTCTGTCAAAAGCAAACACAAATATTTCTATAAGCAAGCCCTTTAAACCCAGCCTCAAACAAATTCCACAGTAAAATTCCAAGCAACATGAACATACAATAAAAGATCATCAGTGAAGAAATAAGTCACTATGCAGAAGATAAAAGTTAGCAGAAACAACAAACTGCAAAATCAGACCACAAAACTGCAGATAGTAGAATTATCAGGCAAAAAATATAAAATAGATATGTGTAATAAGTTTAAGAAATCTAGAGAATTGAAAGTGTAACTAAACAATGATAGACTATTGGAATTGACAGGAGATTTTTTAAAATTACCAAATAGAACTTGTAGCAATAAAAGATATAATCGTTAAAATTAGAAATTAAACAAGTTAAACAAAACATTAAATGCAATTAAATACAGAATTAAATTACATATAGTTAAACATAAGAGAATTAGTGATCTAGAATACACATGCAAAGAAATTACTTGGAACATAACACAGAGATTAAAACAAAAAAGGGAAGGTATAAAGGAATGACTAAGAGGCACAGAGAATGCAGGGAGAAGGTTCAAACTATGTATAAATGGGGAAAGGCAATATCCAAAGGGGCTGAGCTAAGAATTTCCAAGGAATGGATGAAAGATAACAATCCTCTGATTCAGGAAGCCCAATGAATCATAAGCAAGTTAATTTTTTTTAAAACAATCAAAATCTAGTATATCATATGGAACTACAAAGACAATCTTAAAAGCAGCTGGAAAAAACAGATTATCTACAAAGGCAGAATGATTAGACCAACAAACTTTTCAGCTGCCCAAATGAAAGCCAGAAAAGGAATATTTTCAAAAGGCTGAAAGAAAATAACTGTCAAACAAGTAGTTTAAATCCAGTGAAATATTTTAAGCAAATATTGGGAGAATTCACAACCAAAAGATTCTCACTAAAGAAATTTCTGAAAAATATATTTCCTAAAGAAGGAAGACTCTTGGAGAAATGTCCTAAATGCAACGTGTAATGCTAGATAAAGAAAATGGGAAACTTGTGAGTAAATCTAAACAAGTCTTATATTAATAGCAATAACAACAGTGATGTGGGTGAAAAATCAGGATAGAGCAAAAGTCCTGCAAAAAATGCATGTATGTCAGGATAGAGATTGATGACAGTATTTTAATGCTCTTATATCTTCCAAGATGAGGGCAAAGATATTAACTTGAAAATTTAACATGCACACTGAAATTTCTAGAAAAACTACTTAAAAGTGTGTATATAGTGAGCATAACTTCTAAACTAGCAGAAGAAAAAATGAATTGGGGTGAAAAGAATGGGGAGGGGAAAAAAGAAACAGAAAAAGTATGACAAGTAAAAAGTACAGAATAACAGGGTAGAAATAATCTAAATACTTACCAATAATCACAATCAAAAGAAAGGGACTAAGCTTTCCAGTTAAAAACAAAGATTGTAAACTAGACTTTTAAAACAGCTTTTAGTGGAACTTGACAAGCTGATTCTAATACTTATACAGAATTGCAAAGGGCAAAAAGTAACCAAAACAATTCTAAAGAATAAGAACCCAGGGGAAAAACTTGTTATATCATATCCAGACTACTTGTGAGACCATAGTAATTTAAGGCAAAATGGTATTCGACAGAGATAACAAAGAAAAAGATGGAAGAGGAAACCTAATATATGACAAGACTGAAGATTAATAAGGAAAAGATGTTTCATTATATAAATTATACTGGGATCATTGATTTTTCATTTGGAAAAGAATGAAAATAGATTCCTACTTCACAATACTCAGTTGCAGAAAGATTGAGGACTTGAATGTGAAAGACGTTTTTATCTTTATGACCCGAGATAGGAAGGATTTCTTAAAAGAGACAGAAGAGAGCACAAACTATAAAAAAATAACAAAAAATTTGACCACATTAAAATTGAGAACTTGAGTTTACCTAAAGACACCATAAAGAAAATGAAAAAACAAGGCACAAATTAGAAAAGGATATTGACAGCATATATAATTCATAAAGGAATAGAGGATATATTTTTAATTAAAACTTACAAGTCAATAAGGAAATGTGAAAAATACATATAGAAACTCATAGAAGTAGAAACATGAAACACCAATAAACATGAAAAGATTAACCTCAAATGGAATAGGAGGTTAAGCAAGAGGGTGGAATAGAATCCTCCAGCAATGGTGCCACAACAGGAACATCAATTTGAACAACTGTCCACAAAGAAAATACCTTCCTAAGAGTTAAGGAAACCAGTGAGAGATCCTGGTACCTGGTTTCAGCATAATAAGAACACATTGAAGAGAGGGTAGGAAGGACAGTCTTGCATTGCCCATACCACATTTCCCCCATGCAAGGCAGCACAGCATGGACACAAACTCCACCTGCTTGGGGGATGGAGATGTAACTGTGCATGGGTCTTTGCCTGGAATCCAGATTGGTTCCACCACAGTAAATCACAGCACCAGGCAGAACCCCATGGCCTCTGATTCTAAAGGCCAGTGCCTGTGGATGGAGCTTCTAGACTCACCCCATGTGACTATAGCTAATAACATGTTACATATTTCAAGATGCCTAGAAGAATTTTGAATGTTATCACCACAAAGAAATGATAAACGTTTACAGTGACAGATGAGGTATTTACCCCGATTTGATCGTTGCACAATGTATACATGCACTGAAACATCACACTGTATCCCATAACTATGTACAATTATGTGTCAATTATAAAAAACTTTTTAAAATAAACTTCCTTAGAAATTACAGAAATATGAGTTATAGCCAGACTGATGCCCAGATCTTGATTCCTAAGTATTATTTTCCTCTAAAAGGAACGAGGGCTCCTTGGAGAAATGGCCGCTTTCAGGACTGGGCTAAGTGAAAGTTCAAGATGATTCTGGAAAGTCTTATTGTACCAGAAAGTAAATAAGTGCAAAAAGAATGACAAGGACATTTCAAAGGGACACAGGAGCCAGTTTCTTCCTCTGTAAAAGATGGGTAACTATAGCCTTCTGCATAGGATGTTTGGTGAGGATTGAGATAATATTAATACAACATTTAGTAAGTATCTAATGAGCATTAGCTACACTATGTACATATAAATGTTTGTGATATGTGAAATTTATTTTAAGAAATGAGGTAGAAGATGGAACTGTTTTATTAGAACTTATTTTTTAAAAGCTAATTTTGATTATACAGGAACTGGTGGCTCGATATGTGTCCTTGATTCCTTTCTTGCCTGACACTGTTTCATTTGCTGGTCTCTGTGACCTGTGGAGCACATCTGATGTGAGTAGTTCTTCCTTAGAGATTTACTGACTTGAGCCAACTTAATTGAATGTTAGCTAAATAGCTTGCATAATTTTAAATTGCAATATTCATTAGTCACAATAAAAATCTAATTGGCCATCTGTTTAGTGAGATGAGCTAAATTCTGAAGTAATTTTTCTTCCTGGTTTAATTATTCCAAAGTCCAGAATTTTTTTTAAAATTACAGAAAGAATAAAAAAAGTAACACTTCAGATGTTTTAATGCTGCTTTACCCTCCCAGTATTACCGTAGCCATATCCCAGTTTTGTTCATTAAAAATATCAAGATTGTATTCTATAACTGGAAATTATATATTGCTTAATTTATGGGCTTCGTAAGGCATGTCATATCATTATTTATTCAATATGTATTTCTTGGTCACCTACCATGTACCAGACACTGTACTAAGGTCTGGCTATAAGTGAAGCAAACATAGCCTATGCCTCATGGAATTTATAATCTGTGTATGCTACATAAACTTTCAAATGATTCTTGGATAGTAATAAAAAATATATATATATCACAGGTATTAATTTTGCTTCTGAATCTCATGTAGTCCTTGTTTTGGCACAAAACTGAACTGTTATTATACAACTTCCTTTGAAGGATAGCCCTACATCAAATAAATTTACATGCGCTTTACATTTTTTATTCCCCAATATATTCGGCAACATAAACATTGACAATTTTAGAGATAAAATTTCTACAACCTTAAGACATCTATAAGAAAACATACAAATAGAATAGTTTATGTGCTCTAGAGCCAAACTGGCTTTACCACTTCCTAGGTGTTACCTTATTGATCTGTGCCTCCACTTCCTCAACTACAAGGTAGGAAAATAAAGCACCTCCCTCAAAGGGTTGTTCTATGTTAAATGGGTCAATGAATGCAATGTGCCTTAAAGATTATTTAGTGCACAGTGAATTATCATATATACATTCAAATTGAAAGTAAAACTTTGAAATTTTTCTCTCCTACCCCAATCATAGTGAATATTTTAAAAAATCCACATCATCAATATCAGAGAAAATACCATGTCCACAAAAAGTGTTTTCTTTAAATGAATTATCAGCATAGTATCGAAATTTGGGGAAAGCTTTGGAAAAAATATACTTTAAGGCCCTAATTTTAACTGTGACATATCAAATTCCTGCACAGCCAACCCAAAATAAAGCAGGCAGTAAATACATGTTTTTTTTTTTTTCTTTTTGTCAGCAATTTCTTGATCTCCTGGCAGGAGATGAAGAAGAACATGCAGTATTACTATGCAATTATTTTCTGTTCCTGGGTAAGAAGGCCTGGCTGGTGATGGGCAATGCTATTCCTGAGGTAAGGCCACGTAGGCTGGTTTTAACAGAGGAGTGTAGTTGTCTCATTACTTGTATGTTATAGATCATGGAAAGGACTTATTTTCATAATGATGCTTTGAATTGCTAGGAAAGTGGCCTAGAGTCGCCATATAGGCGGAGAGAATTATCAGCGATAAGACGTGAAACAATTTACACTGGTACTCAGGGCCCTGCATAATGCTTCAGGTTGGTTTTTTGGCGAAACTAAATCCTTTACCACTCAAAGCTCCCACCTAGCTCTGTCCTTTTAATATGAACTTCCTATCTACGTTCCTAAGAATTCCGATTCCCCTAGGGAGCTAATGTTCTTCATGCTTAGGAGTGAAGCAGATCCCAAGAAGGTGGTAAGGTTAGAGACCTTTCCTTTCATGCCTACTGCTTATATAATCATCTGCTGCTAACCTGACAGGCAACAGGGAATAAGCAAGATAACCACAAGAGGAAAAAAAAAATGTTAGCAGCTATATTTTGATGTTATCATCGTTATTTTTATCAAATTGGAGACTTAATGACTACTGGAATATTTTCCCTAGTCCACTGCAAATACCCTAAATTTGGGGCGCAATGGGTAATTTTGGGTGCAAGATTTGAAAATTCACATGGATTGAAAAAACTTAAAGAGAGTTTCAAAAAGAGGCCATAAAGCTCTAGGAATCCTTGGGAATTAGACAGCATGAGCTGCTGTGAAGCAGGTAATAAGGTAGTATCCTATTCATATAAGGATTCATTCTCCACCCTCATCTCCCAGATAGCCTGGTACAAGGAGAACACTAGGCTAGGAAAGCACAAGGCGTGGGTTCAAGGTTCTGTACCCACTCCTCATTAGCTGTATGATGCTAAGCAAGTCACTTCACAACTCTGAGCTTCATAAGGAAACTGGGATAATAATTTCTGCCCTGCCTCTCCACTGTGTGCATCAAGAGAAATCATACAAGGATAATAAATGAATAAATTCCCATTGTGAAAAAAAAATATCTAACAATATATAAGCATTCTGAGTAAAAAGTAAAAGTCCCTCTTTGGGCTCCAACTCATAACCCACTCCTCTTCCCAGGTATAGTCATTCTTAACAGTTTGGTATATATCCTTTCAAATCTTCTATGCATTCACAGTTAGAAACATATATCAAATATAAGTTACTATATTACAAACAGAAATATTTCTATTCAGGCATACTTGGCCTTCTACACACTTAAATGGCAATCTTATTGATCCTAAAAAGAAATGTCAGTGACATTAATAATAGTTCTTCAGCCAATCTTATGATATATTGGTTGGGTAAGGTGATTACTATCCATATTTTGGTCACTGCACTAGTATCAGATGTAAGAACTTTCTTTTTTTTTTTTCTGAGACAAGAGTCTCACTTTGTTGCCCAGGCTAGAGTGAGTGCCGTGGTGTCAGCCTAGCTCACAGCAACCTCAATCTCCTGGGCTCAAGTGATCCTTCTGCCTCAGCCTCCCAAGTAGCTGGGACTACATGCATGCGCCACCATGCCTGGCTAATTTTTTGTATATATATTAGTTGGCCAATTAATTTCTTTCTATTTTATAGTAGAGACGGGGTCTCGCTCTTGCTCAGGTTGGTTTTGAACTCCTGAACTCAAACGATCCACCCACCTTGGCCTCCCAGAGAGCTAGGATTACAGGCGTGAGCCATCGCGACTGGCCCAGATATAAAAATTTTGCAAAAATAAACATTTGATTTTATATTTTAAATCCAGCACAACCTAGAACTTTAAACTTATTTTCACCATTAACCATGGGAACTTAGAAATTAGGGGCCCAACTAATGAATTATCTCTGCAAACTACTAATGACCTTAATTGCATAATTAGTTGGAAACTGTTTTTAATGGCTGTTTTCTTCCAGGGTCCAACTGCCTATGTACTAACTTGGGAGAAAAGTCATTATTTAATATGGAATCCCTGCAGTGGAAATTTTTATGGACAATTTGATACATTCTGTCCCTTGAAAAATGTAGGCTGTTTAATAGGTCCTGATAATGTAAGTATTACCATTTCTTCTTAATTATGGTTAGTTGACTATTGTTTTCTTTTTTTGAAAATTGATCTATTGATTTAAATACTTTATCAAAAAAATTTATTTAAGTAAATGAATATATACACACTTATACACTGACACATATACCAATTAAAGAAATGTAATGTCAAGCACAGTAGCAGAACTGTGTTCACAATAAAACTTTTGGCCAAATTAGTCACCTGACCTGCCAAGCAGCAGAATGAAATTCAAGAAAGAATATGGGATTTAGCTTCAGAGAACCTGTATTTGTGTTCTGGCTTTGTCCTCAGTTTTCTCATCCAAAATGCCTAAACTCATGTGTTTTGAGAAGTAAATGAAGCAAATTTACCACCTGAGAACATTGGGTTTGTTCCTCTCTTTCTCTCCCTTTTTTTAAAGGGAGATTCCCAGGTACCACCTGACCTGCAGTATCAATATCCCCAGGTAATTCTGGTTGCACCGAGTTTTGGGGGTTTGATTTAATTGTGAAGGGTACTATATAAAGCAGTGGTTCAAAACAGATTGCCCCAGTTTAAACTCCAACTTCATCATTTACTAGTTGTTGCACAGCATCCCCAATATATTTATTTTTGTGTATTATATATAGAAATATATTTAAATAAATGTATAAATATATTTGTGCATCAATATATTATACAAAAAACACTTTAAAAATAGTTATAAATTCTATTATTTTCTTCTGATATTCCTAGGGTGTGCATACCTCCCTGAAGCCCACTGGTCTATGTTTTGGGGTTACTGCTAAAATTACATATAATATACATACTGACAAAGTACTTGTCTTTCATAAGTGTTCCACAAATGGCAACTATATAGCACTATTAATTAAAAATGTAAAAAGAGCATGGTGAAACACTGTTCTCACGTTAATAATTATTTTTAATTAAGGTCATTATCATAATCATAAGTAATCTGCTAAGCTCCATCTACATTTAGAGAATCATTTAAAGTAGCAATTTTAGTAATCAAGCAGGGTCAATAGGCACCAAAAAAGAAATATCAAAGAACTCCATTATCTGTCAAAATTATCACCAGCTCTCAAAACAATTACTATATGGGAGTTTTGTGAGGACATAAGAACCTCCTTTTCTCTCCTGTGAGAGGGGTGGTGGTACCCGGTGATGCTGTGCAGCCCCCGTGGCAGCTGCTCTAAACCTGCCCTGAGCCCTGTCCACTCAGTAGAGGGCCTCACCCTGGCTTTGTTGGCCTGGCACCTGAAACCTCAATGGTTCTAGGCCCCACCACACAACCTCTTTGGATGTCAGTCTTTCTCCTCCTCCACCCCTTTTCCAAGAAATCAGTCTCTTCCCTTTCTACCTGTGTTTGTGTTTCCATTCCCATTCCACACTCTACTCATTTGTTTTTTTCCTCTCTCCTTCTCTACCTATTGATGTGCTCAGGAGTCCAGCGATTCTAACATTTGCTTCTCCCAACATATATGCTAATATAGTCTTGTCTTTTTTAGATTTGGTTTAATATTCAACAATATGATTCTCCACTAAGGATAAATTTTGATGTTACCAAGCACAAGCTGTGGAAATCTTTCTTTTCAAGAAGTCTTCCATATCCTGGCCTTTCCAGTGTTCAGGTATGATTCTTTTATTAAAAAGTAAATGTAGACAAAGAATGTGAGGGATATAAAATCATTATGTAGGATAGTCAGACATTGTTTTGGCTCTTAATTCTACTCCTAGGTATTTAGAACAGTGTTTGTTTTTCAAACATATTTGAGCTCAACCAACAATAAGAAACACATGTGTTTATGTACATGTGAAAGAAAAAGTTTTGATATAAGAAGTCCCATGACACAAAAAGTACGAAATACATTATATTTAATTTTTTTAACAACTGATCTCAATTCACTAAATTGATTTCATGACTGCTAATGAAACATGAAATCAAACTGCAAGGTGTGATCCATTAGGGGCTGATAAAATTAACTTAGAGGGCCCTTACCATTAGTAGATTGTAGGTAATAAGCATGAATATTGTTTACTAAAGCTTTTGTTTCATTTGATAAATGTGTATGTGTGTACTGGGTTTGTAATATAAAATGCATGTTACATTCTGAATCAAACCTTTTAGAAAAAGCTTTGAACACTGCCTTAGAGGAATTCTCCTATATACGCACAAGGTTACATATATAAAATTTTTCATAGGAATGTTGTTTTAAATAGCATAAGAATTGAAATGACATAAGAGATAAATTATGGTACCTAACGGAATGTTTTATAATAGTTAAATGAACATTAATTAATCTTAGCACTCTAAAACTAAACTGTTTGCTGTTATCACTAAATATGTTGAAAGAAAGTGCCAGTTACATGTTCATAAAATAAAACTATAAAGTTTAGAAGACATGCAATACAATACATTATTTGGGGCACATATATCTGTAGTAAAATCATAAACACATTGTAGTAATTTGTCTATCTTCACTTATTATAATGTAAGCACCATGAAGACAGGAATTTTTATTCATGGCCAAATCCCCTACCCTCCTCACCTGTGAAAGTGCCTGGCACACAGTAGGTACTCAATTATTTGTTGAACACAGTGCTAAAAACCAAATTCAGGTCATGGTTATTTCTGTGGTGAGAGAAGGGAAATGAAAGCAAGAGAGAACTACATGTGCTGTCATTTATTTGTAATGTTTTACTTATAATGAGGGTCATGGGTACACTGACATCCATTATATTATTCTCTACCTTATTAAATGTCATTATTTTTTTTTTTAATTATTTTTTTTTATTTTGGCATATTATGGGGGTACAGATTTTAAGGTTTCAATAAATGCCCATTTCCCCCCCTCCCCCCAAAAGTCTGAGTCTCCATCATGACCATCCCCCAGATGGTGCACATCTCACTCACTATATGTATGTATATACCCGCCCCCCTCCCCCCTCCCACCTGCCCAATACCCTATTACTGTAGCACCTATGTGTCCACTTAGGTGCTACTCAGTTAATACCAGTTTGCTGGAGAATATATCTGGTGCTTGTTTTTCCATTCTTGGGATACTTCACTTAGTAGTATGGGTTCCAGCTCTAACCAGGAAAATATAAGGTGTGCTATATCACCATTGTTTCTTAGAGCTGAATAGTACTCCATAAATGTCATTATTTTTTAAAACAAGATTTTAAAAAGGGTATACAGCTATTCAAATTAATGTAGGTGATTTCTAGAATTTCTGAACTATTTTCTCTTCCGTAGCCTGAAGAGCTAATTTACCAGAACACAGACAAAGCAGCTGCAGCTGAGCTACAAGACAGGTAACATCATATCCATAAATCCACAAGTAATCTTTCACTAGGAGTGTAACGCCAAACTCTAAATGACTCTTGTTCTAGATCAATGTGAACTAATTTGTGCAATTAAACTTTAATTCATGTTTATAGATTCCAAGTACAAATGAAATCTGAATCCCGTAGTGCAAAAGGAGCCTTTAGCATCAACACCCTGTGGGACAAACAGACAGTGAACACCAATAATATCTAGTTCTCCAAAGACCTTACCTCAGATAAGAGTTTAATAAGTCATTATGAGTCTTGTTGAGACACATAATCCTCAGCTTAAATATGCTTCTTTAGTCCAATTAGTGGCTAGTAGAACCACAGCTATAATAGTTTATGAACCTAACACATAGAGGCCAGTAAGAGCCTGAGTCCCTATAATTCTAATAATCCTATAAAATTGAATTTATTCTCTTGGTTTCACAAAAGCGGAAACAGAGGCTCAGAAAGTCCACATACTTGTTTACTGTTAAAGGGGGCTTCTCTGAGCCCAGCCTGATCTTTCTAATTTTAAGGCCTATGTTCTATTTGTACTGTATCAAGCTGTGTGAAGAACAGCACGTCAAATTACAACAGACTAAATATGATTCCTTTTAAGACATTATTAGTAGAAAACACCAATTTACTCACAATTTCTCCATAAAGCCTTATTTGGGATTCCCACTTAAAACAACTGATCTCCAAACAACCTTTTTGTTTCTTCCAATAGCTTCAGTGTACTATTGATTAAACTCAAGTAATTTATTTCTCCAATATTAAAATACTTGGCTCTGTCAAGTCACTTATCCTACCACAAACTGTCTCCCCATCTGTAAAAACAGGGAAATATCCCCTACCTTATAGGGTTATTATTGAAATTAAATAAAAATGTATTGCATTTAGCACAATATCTGGTAAATAATGGCTCAATAAATGGTGGCTATTTTCCTTCATTCTATGTTTAAGCTTCACAACCTATGAACCTAATACCTATAACCTATCAAAAATTAAGTTGCAATGATACTTGGTGTTTTAAAGGCAATTTTAAGGCAATTTAGAAAAAATTCTATTGTCATGAATAGAAGCACTCATTGGTGAAAAAAATGAATGGAAGACATTAATAGCCCCACAAATATTTAAGGCTTTTAATATAAGCCCCATCCTTTATGCCTGGGTCTAATTTATCTGTCTATAGATAGGTTACCAATGAATACCAATGAATAATGTTATAAAACATTTCATAATAAAAAAACTTTTGCTACATATGTTAAATTTAGCTACCCCCATTCCCCCCAGTCATTCAGTACTCCTCTTTTGTTACATTTCAAGCATCTGTTATGGACCTTAAGATATCACATACTTTCTATTTATAGGTCTATTTCCCATCCCAACTCATACGCAATCCTTAAGGACAGGACCACTTGTGTTAATTTTTGAATCCTCAAGGATTAGCCCATAAATATATGGTACTAATTCCACCAACAAATACATAATTACATGATTACCTAAAAATCCCTGCTGCATAAAAACTGTATTTTTTTTACAAAGGAAAAAGTCACCAAAAAAAAAATGGAGTTTATTTTTTATAAGCAGGATTGAAAAGATACTAAAAGAAAAAATCATGGACTGGAGGCCACGCCATCTGACCCGGTGGAATAGGTACTGTACCTCCACTCTGCGTCATTTCTTGCCTCTGTTAGAAAGTAGTCAAGGAGAAGATATAGAAGATGACCACAGAGCAGAACTGCTGAAACAGCTGGGAGACTACAGGGTAAGTACAAATGGCTCTTAAAATCCTTTTGTGTAAAAAGATCCCATGAAAAATACTTTATTAAATCATTGAAGTATTAAATAAATTGAAACATTTGACTAAATCACATTAGACACAATTGTACACAAAGATGAAAACAAACACTCTAAATCAGGATATGGTTTTATACTGATTGCATTTCACTGCTAGGAAAAATTCTCATTAACAAACAATATATCCCCTCTACCGCCTGTGGTTAGTGCTATATGTTCACATTCTACAGCTGGATAATAAAAGCTAGAAATCAGTCTCATAACTAAGACAGTAAAACCTTGTTGGCTAAACAGTGTAATGGTCAAATTGGATTATTCACTGAGTAAAACTTATCCTTTATATAAGGCCAGGTTCTCAGCCAGGATGTTTCAGTTCAAGTAATAAAAACTTAGCTTAAACAGGCTTGAGCAATAGAAAATTTATTGGATTACTTAACCACTTCGGTACGGCGCTCACCATCTGCGAAACCTTGCCCATAGCCGGCACTAATAGTCCGCTCGATAGTTTGTGCTGTGCATTGATGACAAATCTGTTTTGCTCTTGTGTGATGGGGAAAGCTTTAAAGCACTGAAAGCTTAGTTTACTTTACAGGCAGCTTTACTTGTAATGTAAATCAGAATAGGTAACATATAAATATATGTCTTCATTATGTTATTTTTAAATGTTCACAATTTTATTTTGATAAATGAAAAATTAGAAAAGTCCTATCACGGCTGTCAGCTAAAGTCACTGTGCGCGTTCATCTGTGGCTATTGACTATAGTCAATGCTCATACCTAAGTGGTTAAGTAAAACTTAGAGGTGAGTAGCTACCAGGGTTGTCCCACTTTTCTGCAAGTCTTTCCACCTTGCCCTCCTCCTCCTCCATGTGACAGTAGCATCCTCAGGCTAGCTTTTCTCGTGGTAACAAATGCTGGAACACTTCCAGGACTCCCATCTGCACACATACTGCCCAAAGCAGGACATAGTATCCATGTGCCATTGTTCCTACCAAGTTTCCTGAGATTCACTTTGAGACTCCCTTCAATCACATGCCCATACCTATGGGTCAATCATTGTGGTCAAGGGGATGGAATGAACTGATGAGCTCAATCTAGGTCTCTGGAATTACATGGGTTACTAAGCATATTAGGACTATCAGGAGGAGAGAAGGAACGGTGGAAGTTGATGGAATGACTAATGTGTATCTTATATACCAATATGCTAGCAATGAAAACAGAAAAGGTATTAGGTCCCTCTTCATTTTCTGTATTGCTACTATATAGCTGAATAGAAAACAACTTAACTCAAGATCCAGAAGACTTACTATATTAAGAAAAAAAAATATTGAAATCTTCAAACTTTACTAATGTCTACAAATGTTTTCTCCCCTTTCAGTTCTCTGGATTTCCCCTTCACATGCCTTATTCTGAGGTGAAGCCTTTAATTGACGCTGTGTATAGCACTGGAGTACATAATATTGATGTTCCTAATGTTGAATTTGCTTTAGCTGTATACATACACCCATATCCCAAAAATGTTTTGTCTGTTTGGATCTATGTTGCCTCCCTCATACGCAACAGGTAATTTTTTTCATTGTATCTTTTTTATATCATGTAAAAACTACACTTAGGATGTGAGAATTTTAAAAATTATACTGATCACACCGGAAGAATGTATTATTCGCAAATAATGAAATAAAATTATCAATATATATTTTTAAACTGTGTAAAATAAGTGTTTTATTAAGCAGTCAGCCCTATCTCTGCCACTTTGACTCTAAATTCAACTGAGACTACCTACAGTAGGGTACACTATTAGCTTCATGCCTCTATACCTTTGTACTTATTTACATTCTACTTGGGATGTCCTTCTCCTTTGCCTGTCTAGCAGAATATAATCATACTTTTAGGACCCAATAAAATACTTCACAACTTTTCTAGGGGAAGAGCTACAACTTTGCAATAACAAATTCTTTTTTTTTTTTTTTTTTGAGACAGAGTTTCGCTTTGTTGCCCAGGCTAGAGTGAGTGCAGTGGCGTCAGCCTAGCTCACAGCAACCTCAAACTCCTGGGCTCAAGCAATCCTCCTGCCTCAGCCTCCCAAGTGGCTGGGACTATAGGCATGCGTCACCATGCCCAGCTAATTTTTTCTATATATATCTTAGTTGGCCAATTAATTTCTTTCTATTTTTATAGTAGAGACGGGGTCTCGCTCTTGCTCAGGCTGGCTTTGAACTCCTAACCTCGAGCAATCCGCCCGCCTCAGCCTCCCAGAGTGCTAGGATTACAGGCATGAGCCACCACGCCCGGCCTATAACAAATTCTTATTTTTAACATTGAATACCTCACAAGGCATTATCCTACAGAAATACTAAGCAAGCACCCATGTACACACATGTGCACCTACATATCCCACCAAAGCAATACAGTATTTTGGGGGAGAAAGGAGTATGCTTGAATAGTCATCAAAAAGGAAGTAGTGACTCCTCCCCCAAAAAGCCCTAAGACACTGCTATAGACTGAATGTTTGTGCCCCCACCACCCAAATTCATAGGTTAACCCCTCACCCCCAATGTGATAGTTATTTGGAGATGGGGCCTTTGGGAAGCAATTAGGTCAAGAGGATAGAGTCTTCATAAAATGGGAGACAGCTTGCTCTCCCTCCTCTTTCACCACCGACTGCCCCCCTGCCGCATGAAAATACAAGACAGCCTCTGCAAGCCAGAAAGACGGCCCTTACCTGACACTGGATCTGCTGGCTTCCAGCAGATATTGGACTTGATCTTGACTTCCCAGACTCCATAACTGTGAGAAATAAATGTCTGTTGTTTAAACCACTCAGTCTATGGTATTCTGTTATTAGCAGCCCAAACTAAGACAAACACATTCATTTAATATTATACTAAACCATTAAAAATGATTAATTGTATATGCTGAACTGGAAAGATGTACACAAAATAGAAATATGTAAGACAAGATGTCTCAACAGTAGCACTATTGACATTTTGGGCCAAGTAATTATTTGTTGTAGAGGGTAGTTCTGTGCATTGTAGGATGTTTAGCAGCATCCCTGGCTTCCACTCACTAGATGACAGTTGCATCCCTCCCTTTGCCAAGTTGTGACTATCAAAAACGTCTCCTTACACTGCTTAATGTCCTCTACGAGACACATGGCCTCCATCTAGGAAGTGACTCTCACTTGAAGAAAAAATTATAAAAATACAGGGACTGAGTTAAGGAACAACTTTCACATTTGCTTTCTTATGCATTCCTTTCTTATGCAATTCATCTATCAAATTATATTGCAATTATGTGTTTACATGCTTCTGATACTTCTACTATGAATTCTTCAAAGGAGGGTCCTGTGACCCATAGCAGCTACTAATATAGCAATACAGAGAAAGGACAGCACACCGGATAAGAACATGGATTCTGGAGAAATGCTAGTTTGTTACTCAGCTGGGTAATCCATGAGCAAGTTACTTAACCTCTGTTACTTACTTTCCCCATGTATAAGATCAGGATGATCACATTACCTACTTCGTCACATTGTTGTAAAGACAAAACAGGTTAGTAGATGTAAAGCACTTAGAACACTGCCCAGTACTGAGCACCTAATGTTTGTCAGACACAAGGTAGTTTACATAACTGTGGCATTTTATTCTCAGAAGGAAATCAATCACAAAATCCAAAATAAATTTAAATCAAGTAGCGTTCATTAAATGAACTATGCTGGCCAGGTGTGGTGACTCACACCTGTAATCTTAGCACTCTGGGAGACCAAGGCAGGAGGTTTGCTCGAGGTCGAGAGTTCGAAACCAGCCTCAAGAACAGCAAGACCCCATCTTTACTAGAAATAGAAAGAAATTAGCTGGACAACTAAAAATAGAAAATAGTAGCCGGGCATGGTGGTGCATGCCTGTAGTCCCAGCTACTCAGGAGGCTGAGGGAGGATGATCATTGGAGCCCAGGAATTTGAGGTTGCTATGAGCTAGCCTGACACCAAAGCACTCTAGCCCGGGCAACAGAGCAAGACTGTCTCAAAAAAAAAAAAAAAAAAACCCAGAAACCACAAACGATTCCCTTAATAATGGAAAAACAACGATTAACACATAAAAATTAAACACAGATTATGCTGTCATGCCCCCATGTGAATGGGGACTGGGAGAGAGTAGAAAAACAGTGAGTTTTGACATGACAATGTGTTGACATATTGAAGTCAATTTGTTTCAGGATTGGAAGTCCTATTTAATGGTTTGCTAACATAAAGAAGCATAAGACAAAGTACAAAAGAGACACCCTAATTACCTGGAGCCTCTGAAGAAATCAGCTGCTTAAAATTAATTTATAAAGAGAATAAGATTTTAAGCCAAGTCCTAAAACATCATTTAATCATGATTTTTTCCATAAGGATTACTTAAAAAATTTCCCCAAAATATTACCTTGTTTTCTGTTAAATGTGGGATAAACTTTAATCCTTGGTTGATGATTCAGAGCCTTCATTGAGGAGGAGGAATTTTACTATACAGTTCATGTAAATACAGATAAATGAAGTATGATATAGGGTGGGACTCACTCCAGAAAACTTACTGTAAATAGCTTTCTCTAGTCCTTGATGTCAACTTTTCAAATAAGCTTTTTAAACACTTAGGGAAATAAAAATACAGCACAGTAGACCTTATAAAATAAAACTTCTCACCCTGCAACTGCTGACCAAGCTCAGATTTCAAGTTCTCTAGGGGAATCAAGAAATTGTTTGTTCCTTTGTGCTTAGATCAGACTTATATAATAAAAGGAAACTAGGTGTAATGGTGCCACAAAAGACATGACTACTTTAGTTTAAGAGAACAAACTCAAAAGGTAAGATGGTCTGTCCTACCATACATGAAAGAAACTTGTAGAGGTCCATCTTTATTTTGTAAACGTTAACAGCAATGGAATCAAAGTGAAAGAAACCCTAGAGCAAGGTAAAACTTCAAACAGAACATTCATCTTCCCTTGCAGTGGGGGAATTAATTCAAATGTTTAATTCAAATGTTAGTTGAAATAAAAAGTATTGAGTTCTCCTTATGTATATTCCATCGAGTGATTCTTCCTTCATCTTTAGACAACAGTGTTGAAAATAGTTGTTTTTTTTAAGCCTGTTTAAAACATGTCTACTTGTCGTTTTTCTCCCTCCTCCTCCTCCTCTCCAAATAAAACAAACAAAAATACAGCTGGGGCCACAAAGAATCAAACTGCAATTTTACTTCCTCTTCCACAGCTTTGCATGTACAGGCATACCTCACAGATATTGTGCACTTGGTTCCAGACCATCGCAATAAAGTGAATACTGCAACAAAGCAAGTCACACAAATATTTTGGTTTTCTAGTACATATAAAAGTTATGTTTATACCACATTGTAGTCTAAGTATGCAATAGCATTATGTCTAAAAAAAAAAGTGTATCCTTAATTTTAAAATATTGCTAAAAAAAGCTAACAATATGCATGCTGTAAATACATGTTAAAAAAAAAAAAAAAAAAAGCTAACAATCTTTTGAGCCTTCAGAAAGTGATAATCTTTTTGCTGGTAGAGGGTCTTGCCTCACCGTTGATGGCTGCTAACTGATCAGGGTGGTGGCTGCTGAAGGTTGGGGTAACTGTGGCAATTTCTTAAAATAAGACAAGTTTGTAGCTTTGGTTGACTTCCTTTCATGAAAGATTTCTCTATAGCATGCAATGCTGTTTGACAGCATCTTACTCACAGAACTTACTTCAAAATTACAATCAGGCCAGGCACAGTGGCTCACACCTGTAATCCCAGCATTTTAAGAGGTCAAGGCAGTAGGATCTCCTGAGACCAGGAGTTCAAGACCAGCTTGAGCAACATAGTGAGACCTTGCCTGGCACACGTCTGTAGTCCTAGCTACTTGGGAGGCTGAGGCAGGAAGATTGCTTGAGCCTGGAAGTTTGAGGTGGCAGTGACCTATGATGACACCACTGCACTGTACTCTAGCTCAGGCAACAGAATGAGACCTTGTCTCAAAAAAAAAAAAAAAGTTAGAATCAATCCTCTCAAACTCTGCCACTGCTTTATCAACTAAGTTTATGTAACATTAATATTCTAAATGTTTTGTTATCATTTCAACAATGTTCACATCATCTTTACCAGCAGTAGATTCCAACAAACTACTTTATTTGCTCATTCACAAAAAGAAACTCTTCATCCATTCAAGTTTTATCATGGGATTGGAGCAATTCAGTCACATCTTCAGGCTTCATTCCTACCCATAATTCTAGTTGTCTTGCTGTACTTACTTCCTCCATTGAAGTCTTGAACCCCTCAAAGTCATCCATGAGGGTTGGAATCAACTTTTCAAACTCCTGTTAATATTTTTTGACATCCTCCCATGAATCATGAATGTTCTTAATGGCATCTAGAATGATATTTCTAGATAAATCCTTTCTAAGTTTTCGATTTACTTTGCATAGATCCATCAGAGGAATCACTCTCTATGACCTTACAAAACGTATTGCTTAAATAATAAGATTTGAAAGTTGAAATTACTCCTTGATCTACTGGGCTGCAGAATTGATACTATGTTAGTGGGCATGAAAATCTCCTTATATATCTTCATCAGAGCTCTTGGGTGACTAGGTACATTGTTAATAAACAGTAATATTTTGAACCGAATCTTTTTTCTGAGCAGCAGATCTCAAGAGTTGGCCTAAAGGATCCAGCAAATCATGCTGTAAACAGATGTGCTGTCATCAGGCTTTGTTGGTCTTTTATAAAGCATAGAGTAGATTTAGCAAAATTATTAAGCACCCTAGGTTTTTCCAAATAGGAAATGAGCCCTGCCTTCAAGTTAAAGTCACCAGCTGCATCGGCCCCTAACAAGAGCCTGTCTTTTGAAGCCAGACATTGACTTCTCTCTAGCCATGAAAGTCCTAGATGGCCTCTTCTTCCAACAGAAGGATGTTTGATCTATACTAAAAAATCTATCATTTAGTATAGCCACCTTCCTCAATGAACTTAGCTAGATCACCTGAATAACATGCTGCAGCTTGTCCATCAGCACTTGCTGCTTCACCTTGCATTTTTGTGTTACAGAGAAGGCTTCTTTCTTTAAATCTCATGAACCAACCTTTACTAGCTTCAAATTTTTCTTTGTAGCTTCCTTACCTCCTTCAGCCTTCACAGAATTAAAGAGAGGTAGGGTTGTACTCTGGATAATACTTTGTCTTAAGGGAATGTTGTGGCTGGTTTTCTCTATCAAGACCACTAAAACCTTCTCCATGTCAATAATAAAGCTATTCCACTTTCTTACCATTCGTGTATTCACTGGAGTAATACTTTTAATTTCCTTCAAGAACTCTTCCTTTGCATTTACAACTTGATTGTTTGGCACAAGAGGTGTAGCTTCAGGCCTCTCTCAGCTTTCAACATGCCTTGCTCATTAAGCTTAATCATTTCTAGCTTTTGATTTAAAGTAAGAGACAGGTGAGTCTTCCTTTCACTTAAACACAAGCCATTGTAGAATTATTAATTGGCCTAATATCAATATTATATGTCTCAAGAAATAAAGAGGTCCAAGGAGAGGAAGACAGGGGAACGGCTGGCCTGTGGAGCAGTTAGAACACACAGAACACTTATCAATAAGGTTCTCTATCTCATTTGGGCGCGGTTCATGGCATCCTAAACAATTACAATAGTAACATCAAAGATCACTGATCACCATAAAAGATGTAATAATGGAAAAGTATGAAATACTGTGAGAATTACCAAAATGGGACAGACACAAAGTGAGCACATGCTACTGGAAAGGTGGTGCCAACAGACTTGCTCAATACAGGGTTGCCACAAACCTTCAATTTGTAAAAAATGTAGTTTTTGCGAAGTGAAAGTGAAGTACAATAAAACAAGATATGCCTGTATTTTATAAAAATACATAGCACATCGCCATTTTCTTCTTCATAACATAAAATCACACATAGCATGACAAAAAATTAATCCAGTATGTGCCTTTCTGAATGGCAAGTCTCCACTTGCATGATCTTTTTACAAAGCAATAAAGATAAACTTAAAAATTGAAATTTTTACTACCAAACAACTAATTTCAAAAAGAAAATTAAGCTCATGATTCATGGGTCATGATTTCATGGGTGCTCAAAAGAAAAAATATTTAATTCTATTTTACACTAAAGTAAACCTGGATTGAGATTTATAATAAAATCACAACACAACAGATATTACTTGGTAAAGTCCTCAAAGTAGATTTTATTTATACATTTCTTCAAATAATTGTGGAATTTTTAAAAATCCCTCCGAAATTTGACAATTTAGGGACAGTGGTGAGAACAAGGGGTCTTTGAAGAATGCAAATACAAATAGATTGGTGCTTTGCTAGCTCATTGACCTAACACCAATAAGCCAATTTACTCTATAATCTTAAAGAATCTCGTATGTGGGTAAGTTTGAATTGGCCTTCTGAGAATGGTTCAAATAAAAGAAACATTATGGAAAAGAGATTAGTTTCCAAAATGCACAGTCTCTGAAAATAAATCTTCAGAATTATATGTCTGAAAAGAACTGCAAAGCTTAATACAGTGTTTATATATAAAGAGAACCAATAACCCCCAATGACTTTAAAACTCAAAATAATCTATAAAATACTTTAAATGATATGGCATTAGCAACATTCTTTTCAAAGCATTTCATTTAAAAGAAATCTGATAAGACTGTTCTCACCCTTATGAAAAGACCTAATCCCTTTCTAAAACAAAAATATAATTTGCAAGAGAAACAACACTGTACAATTCACTGGTAAATTAAGATTTCTGAGGTTGTAAGAAATGGGGCCAAAACAAGTCACACTCAAAAAGGGATTGTTAACACAAGAAATGTGCTATAAGTAAAGTGCATGAAAGGAAGCCTGCTCAGCTAAATGAAGTAGACAAAGGTCAGAAGTCAAGGATCATTCGCCAGAGCGGCAGCAGGCTCGAAAACCACACTGCAAATTCTGGCATCCACTGGCGGTATCAGCATGAGGACCTGTATAAAAACAGAAACATGTGAAAGGAGGAATTTCTTAGAGATCACATAAAAATAATTTTGCTTATGAAGAAGCTAAAAAATGTATCTGTTTCACTGGAAGTACATTTATATCATAGAAGTAAAATTTCACAATGAATGTATAAAAAATATTCAGACACAAAAATCACCAATAGCACCTTGAATTTAACTAATATATTCTTCATGGTCTAAAAGGTAAATGAAAGAAGGGAAAAAACAATTTTTTGGCAACAATTTTACAATATAGAAACCCGAAAAGGAAAAAGACAATCCAGAGAAGCTAGACCTCCAAGCTAACTTAACAACAAATTCTTATAACATGAACATCCTTCCTAGAAATATTAAGGAAAACACAGCTCTATCTGTAATAGATCAGCTAAAGAATCTGTAATACATCAGCTAAAAAATCCAGTACTGAGCAACTGCAGTAAATATTACATTCAAAATTTACAGCAAAATAAACTATATTGATATAGACTTAATATGCTGACAATATTTTTAACATTTGCAGCAAAAAAAATCATATGATAGGGATAGATGAAATAATTTTCCAAAATTACTAAGTATATGAGTGATTAAACTTTAAGATGTAATAAAAACTGTCATTCACTTACAAAGAAGAGTAGCAAAACATTTGTGGAATAACTGAAGGAATAATTTTATCCCACACTATGCCACCCAAACACTAGATAAAAGAACCAGTAGGGAAAATGGCTGAGAATTGGAAAATTCCAAAAAAAAAAAAAAAAAATTTCATGGCACCTATTCAAATGCTAAGTACTTTGAATGAAAGTTTTCATAAAGACAGGCAAATGTAGAAGACTGTTTCGACTCTATTGAAGTCTTTCAATATGTCCATACCATGAACAAATAAAGAACAGTTAATTAGTTTTTTACATATCAAATAGAATAATCAAAATACTTGCAATTGTGATATAAAGGACAATACAAAATAAAGTACATGAAATACAATTTTACTGCAGAATATATCAAATGAATTGTAACTGAAAAATCATAATACTCTTAGGTGATATCTAGTTTAACTCTGAAACATATTTTAAATTTACTTTGTTTTCTGAAGTAGCACTCCATTGCAAAAGAAGGCAACCATGCTAATACCACCACAAGAAAATAATTACTTGCAACTGAACACATTTACTTCTAGAAATTTAACAGTTCCTTGTATTTCCAAGACAGCACATACAAAATAGAAAGGGTAAATTTCTTAGGATATAGAGTCATTAAATTGTAATGTTCATATATTTCACTATGGAAATGACGACATATCTTTAAGAAAAGAAACTATGTACTTTACATATATGTGAAACTGCAAAAGTTTATTTCATTTTTTTCAAATAGTTATATTTAATTTTTAAATTGATATGATGCCTGTCATTAGCTTTAAGTTAAGGGGGAGCAGATAAGGGAATGGGCAATGGTATAGATGAAAAAAGACTGGCCACAGATTTATAAATGCTGAAACTGATGGTACATGAGAACTCATTACATCATATTATTCTGTTTATATGTTTAAAATTTTCCATAATAGAAAGTTTAAAATTTTAAATATAAAATTGAATTACAAGCCCATTTTCATTTAATCCAAATAAAAATCTACCCATTTTTAAATGAAAGTTAAATGTGTGAAATACTTAAAATTCACAAAGCAACATTTTTGTTAAGATGGTATTCCCTTAAAATAAGATACAATGTTAGTCATCTTAACCACAAAGTCAAGATAAGCATTTTTGCATATATTATTATTAGAAATGTTCTAATAAGGACTCCTATGGTTTGAAATTCTTCTCCCACTATCAACCTTTGACCAAGCTTTCCCTTTGACTATTTCCAGCTTTACCTACTGTGCACTACTCAATCTTCTCGCCTTTCCCCTCTGAGCTTGTCTTTCCTAATCCCTCACACTGCTTACAATACTGTTCGGCCTACCAATCATCTAGTGCCTCTCCCCAACATTCAAGCCCTGACTCACTACCATCTTCCTGCCCTGACTTCCTGTCCGTGATGAAATGCCTGAATTGCTGAGGTTTGCCAAAATATACCTAATTATCATGTTATCAAAATGTAATTCTAGGCTGGGCAAGGTGGCTCATGCCTGTAATCCTAGCTCTCTGGGAGGCTGAGGCGGGCAGATTGCTCGATGTCAGGAGTTCGAAACCAGTCTGAGCAAGAGCGAGACCCTGTCTCTACTAAAAATAGAAAGAAATTAATTGGCCAACTAATATATAGAGAAAAAATTAGCCAGGCATGGTGGCGCATGCCTGTAGTCCCAGCCACTTGGGAGGCTGAGGCAGTAGGATTGCCTGAGCCAAGGAGTTTGAGGTTGCTGTGAGCTAGGCTGACGCCACAGCACTCACTCTAGCCTGGGCAACAAAGTGAGATTTTTGTCTCAAAAAAAAAAAAAAAAACTCTGTAATTCTATTCTAAATTTTCTAAAAGAAAGAAACCTGGAGGAAAGAGACCTGGAGACTTTCATATAATTTTCCAAACTAAATCTCCCGAAAATGTCTATACAGTAAGTCCTCACTTAACATTGTTGATAGGTTCTTAGAAAATGTGACTTTAAGCAAAATGACATATAACAAAAACAACTGCTTTTGTTCTCATTGTTATAATGAAATGATGTTGAACAAAACAATGCTATTTGAGTACCTGCTGTACATCATTTTGTTTCTAAGAACCTATCGATGATATTGAGAACTTACTGTATTCCTATTAATATTTATAAAGAGGACAGACAGGTAAGGAAGAATGTTATAATGCATTTAACAGTGGCCTAGGAAAAATCATATGTGATGGCTGGAAGCAATGGAAGTGAAGTATGCAACTGGTTTTTGAGAGAAAAATGTAAAGGGGAGCCTTCAAACGAATGACTAGATCAAGAAAGCTACTCTCCTAGAGATTCAGAAGTAACCACACACCACAGAACTTTTCAGCACCCTCCCCAAAAGACTTAGAGGTCTAACATCCTCAGGCTCCACCTTGGCCATCTGGGTCACTGCTCTCAAACCCTAAGGGATGGTGGTAGAGATAACAGGGGGAGAAAAACATAGGAATAAAAGCCTGTACCCTATATTAAGTAGAAAGCTAACATAAACATGCTATCACATCTCCTTATTCATCACAAAACAAAGTTCTTGCTCATACTGATATAAAACGTGCCCCTTCATTCAAATATGTTCTAGAATATCTGAATTTCAGTGAGATTCTAAAGTGTATAAAGAGAGAGAATTAATATATTGGTGTTTTTTAAATTTGAAAGGATCTGTTTAAAGAAGCCTATGGTACTTAATACTTGTAATCTTAAATTACTCAAAACTACATTCCCATCATAAGGTCAAAAACAGAGCAGTTACTGGTGTCTGATCCTAATAATCATGGAAATGATAGCATCCATTAAAGAACTGTATGTTGCTGAAGGCCCAGGGCAAAATTAAAATGAAGACAACTTACAGGTCTTCACACTAGCTAAGCAAATTTAATAAAAAATAAAAAATAAAAAAAAAATTAAAAAAAATAAAATAAAATGAAGACAACCACTGTTTTAAATTCAGTATCACAATGCAAAAACAAGGGAGAACAGCACTTTCCAAAGCATGGAAATTGTAAGCAACATTAACAGTAAGACCCTTCAGTATCACAGAAGGGATTGTTCAGAAAAGAGAATAAATAGACAACAGAATAAATAGACAACAGAAAAGGTGAGGGATCATTAGAAAGAAATATGACTAAGATATGTTGGGTTGCCTAGTATCTCAAGTAGACAGCTGTGCTTCAATAGATACCAACAATTCAAAAGGTAGTTCCCTTTAAATATTTCACTTATCACCAGCAAACTTCTATCTTGATGTAGGGTAGAGAACCCCAAACAGTTACAATATATGAGGACTAAATTACATTAAAGGATAAAGAAAACAGGAAAATAAAATTACATAACCATTAAATAAAATATTTTAATGCATAAGAATAAATTTTGTAACAAAGCATTTTTAAATATTAGATGAAAAGAACTATAAAGTTAGCTGTTATTTCTCCAAATTTTTATTAATGACTTGTTTTCCTTGGTTTTATTACTTATGCCATATATCTGCACTTACCTTTACTTACCTTTGATTCCTCTTTAACTTAAATTAGAAACATAAGAGAGCAAATCATCTGAGACTGTGTCACCTCCAAAACTATGAGCTAATCTATGCTAATTTATAAAATATACATGCATTGAAATGTAATTTGGTACAAAAAATTTTATTTTCTATCATTGTTCAAATGCTCTTCATAGCTCTACAACTATGCCATTCCATTTAACACTTCTTAAATGATAATTTTTTAAATGTTGTGGCTAAGAAGCCTTCTTTTATATTCAAATCTTTATCAGTCACGAAAAATCATTCAGAAGAATCCAAATTTGCATTTTATATCAGTGCTTAGTACAATGTCTTGCTCAAGGGAGTTATCGTTTGAATATATGATTACTAATTTATCTTCTCCAAAATCTCTGCTAGTGCTTAAGAAATAGATCATTCTGCTTCACCTACAACTTATTTACTTAATGAGTAATGTTTATCAATTCTTCTTTTAGTTAGTAACTTGGTAGTTATGTAGACTTTCTTTTAACAAAATACATTTTTAATTAAACATTACTTTCAAATATTTAAAATATTATTTGTCACCTAAATATGTTTCCTCCTTGCTCTAATACCATGTATTAAAACATATTGAGTACTTTCAGAAATAATAAAAGTAATTTTTAAAAGGGAGGCTCCTAAACATTCACTAATACTATACAAGCTGAGTTGTTTTGAAAGATACTTGCTCAATAGTGTCATTTTGCAAAACTGGATACAATACAACTTCATTCTAACACTTTCTAGGTTGTCCATATGTCCTTTTAAGGAAAAGATTATAACAGAGCATCGCTTTAGGAACAACTATTTGGAACTCTAGAACACAAATTATATGACGAGTCACCCTGTAAACTTTAAAGGATTTCCATTTCCCCCAAATCATGCTTTAATGAGCTATAAAAAAGGAGACTTAATATTGGATTATACAAGCACTGAAATTTCCTTTCAAATCGTTCAAAGTCAGGTATCATCATTAAAATTCATTTATTGAAAATTACTAATCATTTATCCAAAACTTACATTCAACAAAAGAAACACTTTAACATTTATATATCCAAAACCAATTAAGACGAAAAGAATATTGACAAAGTGCAAAATAGTTTAAGTATTCAACTTTATCCTATTTAAATTATTTCAAAAAGTATAAAAATGCATAAACACAAAATAAGTAGGCATAAAAATGAACTGACCCAATCCTCCCATCCCCCCACTGACTTCTATATACCCAAAAATAAATATAACAAATTAAGTTGTTATTCCTAAGCATTTCTATGCTTAAATCAGTATGGAAAATTCAAGAGCCATCTACAAATAAAATTTTATTAATAATTGCTTATTCATTACTTTTGATAATATGTCCCATAAGCCTTAGGAAGTTCACCGCTGAACATGACATAACTGTATGTTAAAAACATAAAGCTCCCTTCTCAAACCCACTAAACTCACAAAAGTAACTGCTTCATTGCATCAATCATACTTTCTTTTTATAGGCTTAGCAAGTTGCAGCTAAAATGACATTCATTTTCACCATTCCTTCACTATACACTGAAGGCCAACAGAGAACAAAGAAATCCTCCAACTTAATGCTAATATATCGAGAACACACGAAGTCATCTCTTGGATAACAATGTGATTCCAAAAATAAGAGAGCTGTGATCTCCTGTTTCCTCATATATATTTTAAAGAAAATCTGATCTCTAAGAAACAGCAGATTTGCTAACTTCTCTACTGCCTGGTATGCCATTACTCCCTCTCGTTTTTCTGGCTCCTATCAATTGTTCTGTCTGAGAAAAATTAAGCTGATTTTCATGTCATCTTAAGATGAATTGGGCACTCAAAGACAACAGTATATGGTATAAAAAGACAGGTGCATAGTAGAATCTGAGCCATCTAAATTTTTTCCCAGTTATAAATTCAGGAAGTTGATTTGCTTACTAATAACTGAGGAGCAGTTTTTTATGCTTCTGGGAAATTCAGTCTCTATGAGTGACTATCAAATACCCAAAAGGACATTGAATGTACTTTGAAAACACATATTCAATCCACTATAGGGTAGAATAGGCTTAAAAAACAAAACAAATCAAGAAATATTTACCTTATTTTTTAAAGTAGGTTTAGGAATCAATTTCCAAAATACTATAGAAATTTTAGTCATTCTAAATCATTTCAGCCTCTTCTCAATGCCATATACTATCTGCTCCTCAATCTTCAGTGACATTTATCGGACATCAAATGCAGACCCTCTGAAACGTCCACGTTACCAAGGTCCTCATTTTTCTACTGCATTTGATAAAGTTGTCTTACAAGGAAAATGAGTGTATCATCCCTAAGAAATCAGTGTATCTAGGACATCAACACCTCTAAATTGTTAATGAGTGCTGTAACACTCTAGAGGAATTCCCAAAGCTTTTTATAAGAATTTTGGTATTTCTATTAACAACTTACCATTTTTAATTAAATTATTATGGGCCTTGAAAATATGGCAGGATATCTGAAATATCTACCTACAAGAAAAACTTACCTTTCAAGAAGCTAATTAATGAAAACATAATTTTTTTTAATTTTAGTAAATTTAAAGAACTAAATCTGAAAGTAAGAGAGTTTGGTAATTAGAAATCTAGAAAACTAAAGAGAAACCATAAAAATTATTAGAACTGCTAAAATTTTTACATTAATTCCTTCAAAATATCTCATTGTTAAAAGGCATTACCGTTAATGTTGTCACAGTAGTAAAAGTATTCATCATTTAGAGAAGGACACGCTGAAACCAAATCCTGCAGGCCTGCACCAGTTACAGTAAGACAACCAGAGAGATTAAGGTGCTCCAAATAAGGCAGCCCTCCTCCCAGAGTCAAAACCCTGTAAGAAAAATAATTTGACAATTAGAATATATTAATCTATGAAAACACATGTATTCCTATGGTCTACTGAAGCGCTGTTTTAAAACACCTTTCAATTTGCTAATGAGAAAATTTCAGTATTTCTGTAAAGCATTTATAACTAATGTCATCCTTAGGCAGGAATACATTTAACTCAGAAAAACTTTCTACATTTTTCCTAAAGACATTCAATAAAGAATGTCTATGAAATTTTTCTTAATAAAAACATTACAGTAACTCAAGTTGTAGAAGAAGTACTGAACTCCGGAGTTGTAATGCTCATTCTCCTACCAGATTGTCTAAGTAAGTAAAAATTATCAAGAAAATTATTGAAGTTTTCAACCTAATGACCAGTTTGGCAGTTCCACAAAAAATTATACAGCCAGCATAAGACCCAGAAATTCCCGTCCTGGGTATATCCCCAAGAGAATTAAAAACATATATGGCTGGGCGCGGTGGCTCAAGCCTGTAATCCTACCACTCTGGGAGGCAAAGGCGGGTGCATCTTTTGAGCTCAGGAGTTCAAGACCAGCCTGAGCAAGAGCAAGAGCAAGAGCAAGACCCTGCCTCTACTAAAAATAGAAAGAAATTAATTGGCCAACTAAAAATACATAGAAAAAAAAATTAGCCGGGCATGGTGGCACATGCCTGTAGTCCCAGTTACTTGGGAGGCTGAGGCAGGAGGATAGCTTGGGCCCAGGAGTTTGAGGTTGCTGTGAGCTAGCTAGGCTGATGCCACGGCACTCTAGCTGGGGCAACAAGAGTGAGACTCTGTCTCCACACACACACACACACACAAAATAATATGTGCAGTGGCTCACTTCTGTAATCCCAGCACCTTGGGAGGCCAAGGTGGGAGGAGTACCAAGGAGGCCAAGAGTTTGAGACCAGTCTAGGTAGCACAGCAAGACCCCATTCTCTACCAAAAATTTAAAAAATTAGCCAGGCATGGTGGTGTGTGCCTTTAGTACCAGTTACTCGGGAGACTAAGGCAGAGGATCACTAGAGCCCAGGAGTTTGAGGATGCAATGAGCTATCATATCCCATCACTGTATTCCAGTCAGGGCAATAGAATAAGACCCTGTCCCTCCCCCCAGAAAAACATGTATTTGTGCAAAAACTTGTACATGAATGTTCATAGTAGCATTATTCATAAAAGCCAGAAAGTAGAAATAACCCAAATGTACATTAATTGATGAATAAAATGTGGTATATCCATGCAATTAAAGAGTATAGCCACAAAGTACTGACACATACTATTAATACAATATGCATGAAGCTTACAAACATTATACCAAATGAAAAAAGATTGACTCAAAGTCCACATACTGTGTGATTCCATTAATACTATTATTCCAGAATAGGTAAATCCACAGAGACAAAAAGTAGATTAGTGGTTGCCAGAGGCGGTGGTGGTTGGGTGGAGGGCAGAATAAAAGTGACTGCTAATAAGTTTTCTTTTGGAGATGATGAAACTATTTCTGAATTAGATAGTGGTGATGGTTGAACAACTTTGTAAATACACTAAAAATCACTGAATTAACTGTATACTTAAAAAGGGGTAAATTTTGTGTTATGTGGATTACACTTCAATAAAAAAAAAAAACCTAATGGCACACCCTAGAAGAATAAAAACATTTACATAAACGGGATAAAAGGCAGCTAAAATAACAATGGTAAAGCTAAAAAGTATCAAGAACAAAAAATTGACAACATCAATTTTCTGTACAATGATGATTATAACAATATTATAACAGCAAAAACTGGGGAAACTGGAAACAGAAAAGGGATGTCAAAAAAGAATAAATTTACTAAAAAAATTAATTTGATTATGCAGGTACATGGAAATTAGGAAGTAATGTTAAGTAAAAAGTATGTAAGCCATTAAAAAAGATTAGAAGCTGGGCATGGTGGCTCATGCCCGTAATCCTAGCACTCTGGAAGGCCAAGGCAGGAGGATCGCTTGAGGTCAGGAGTTCGAGACCAGCCTGAGCAAGAGCGAGACTTCATCTCTACTAAAAATAGAAAGAAATTAATTAGCCAACTAAAAATATATAGAAAAAATTAGCCAGGCATAGTGGCATATGCCTGTAGTCCCAGCTACTCAGGAGACTGAGGCAGGAGGATCACTTGAGCCCAGGAGTTTGAGGTTGGTATGAGCCAAGCTTACGCCACGGCACTCTAGCCAGGGGAATAGAGTGAGACTCTGTCTCAAAAATAAATAAATAAATAAAAATAAAAGATCTTGGGTGTATCTCAATGCAGAGACCACTTTCGTGTCCTAAAACTTAAAATTTTCAGCAAATAGACTAACTGCATGGAATACAAAACTTCATATCACAAGTACACTTGAGCAAACCATTTGTGCTCTTACTGGCCTTACTGAGCTTAGTGAAAAATCAAACAAGTCCAAAAGTAAAGAAGCAATTATAATACTATATGATGAATGCTCTCCTGGGAGTATGTAGAAGGGCCTTGGGAGGTCAGAAAAGGTTTCTCATATGTGACATCTAAACTATGATAGAAATGACAAACAGAAATTAACCAATAAAGGTATGTTACAATAACCAAAGGCAAGAAAAACATAGTAACCTTAAACTATGAGAAAACAGCTGAATATGTGTGTATGTACATGTCACGTTTATCTATACATTGTCTTTTTTTTGGCAAGATTGAGAATCGGAAGAAGTAAACAGCAAGAGATTTAAGGAAGGTAACAAGAAAATTTTCAGAAGTAAATTAAGGGCAAGAATTTGGGCTTTATCAAAATGGTAGCAGGAGTCACTGAAAGGTTCAGATATCGGAGTAATAAGAAATGCATTTTAGAAAGATCACTCTAGTCTATGTCTTATTACCAATGTCCAGTAGATAGGCATAAGCCTAAAGAGTAAAATGCAAAATGAGGTCGGCGTGGTGGCTCACGCCTGTAGCCCTAGCTCTCTGGGAGGCTGAGGCAGGTGGATTGCTCGAGTTCAGGAGTTCGAAACCAGCCTGAGCAAGAGCAAGACCCCGTCTCTACTATAAATAGAAATTAATTGACCAACTAAAAATATATACAAAAAATTAGCCGGGCATGGTAGTGCATGCCTGTAGTCCCAGCTACTCGGGAGGCTGAGGCAAGAGGATCGCTTGAGCCCAGGAGTTTGAGGTTGCTGTGAGCTAGGTTGATGCCACGGCACTCACTCTAGCCTGGGCAACAGAGTGAGACTCTGTCTCAAAAAAAAAAAAAAAAAAATGCAAAATGAATAATGTACAGGTTCTCCCCTCAACCAAGTAAAGAAACATTTAAACAAAATACTAATAATGTATGCTACTTTAAAAAGTTATAGACATGTATACTAGTTATAGAAATAATGCAAACCAGGGAATGACTCAAAAGTAGCAATCTTAAAAGGAATGAAACAAAATCCAGAATTCAACAATTTATAATTCATATTATCTGGTATCCTATCAAAAACTACTAGACTGATTCAAAGAATCAGAAAAAAATTTCAATAGAAACAGACCAATAAATGATAAACATGATAGAATTAATAGGCTGATTTAAAAAGAATTTTTATAAATATTTTTAGTATACTCAATGATTTAAAAGAAAATATCAACATAATGGGAAAAACAGAAAAATGTATATTTATATATTTCATATTATTTTCTATATTTTTTACATTTACATATAATATAATACACTTAGTGATCAGTGGGATGATGTCAGGAAGTCTAACATACACAAATTCCCAGCAGGAAACAAGGGAAAAGAAGTAGGAAAAAGAGAAAAGATACTTGAAGACATATTGGTTGAATTTTCCCCCCAATTTTATGGAAGCTACAAAACCACAGATCTAAGAAACTCAACAAATCCTATGCAAGATAATTATGAAGCAAACCACATTAACACATGCCATATGAAAAGCAACAATAAAGAAGAATTTTAAATTGTTTAAAAAAATTGCAATTGTTTAAAAAAACAGCAATGGATTATGTAGAAGTAATATTTTTAGCAAAAATAGCACAAATAGGAGGGGAACAGGCACTTGCTGTTTTAGGATTTTTACTGTATATATTAAGTGGTATAATATGTTTCTCCAGTACAGCTGGAGAAACAACACACATTACATATTAAGAACAAAGATCTGCACAAAAGAAAGATCTATACAAAAGAAACATGGATCTATACAAAAGAATAAAGAATGCCAGAAAACGTGGATAGTATGTGGGTAAATACAGAAGATTTATTACCCATATTTGTTAAATTTTCTAAAATACAATTGTTTAAAAAAACAGCAATGGATTATGTAGAAGTAATATTTTTAGCACAAATAGGAGGGGAACAGGCACTTGCTGTTTTAGGATTTTTACTGTATATATTAAGTGGTATAGTTATGTTTCTCCAGTACAGCTGCAGAAACAACATACATTACATATTAAGAACAAAGACAAAAAAGTAAATAGATATCTGAGAAATTATGCAAGCTGAAAGATAATGGAATATCTTGAAAGTACTGAAATAAATAAGTCAACCTAGAATTCTATACACCGTAAAATATTTCTAAACTGAAGGTGAAAAAAAGATTGTTTTTCAGATAAGAGCTGAGAGAGAAACTGGATAGCTACTTGTAGAAGGCTAAAGCAGGACCCACACCTTTCACCTCTCACAAAAATCAACTCATGCTAGATAACAGACTTAAACCTAAGGTATGAAACTATTAGAATTCTAGAGGAAAATGTTGGAAACACTTTAGAAATCGGCCTAGGCAAAGAGTTTATGAAGAAGTCCCCAAAGGCAATCACAGCAGCAACAAAAATAAATAAATGGGACATGATCAAACTACAAAGCTTCTGCACAGCCAAAGAAACAGTCATGAAAGTAAACAGACAACCTACAGAATGGGAGAAAATTTTTGCATCCTACACATCTGATAAGGGGCTGATAATTAGAATATATTTAGAACTCACGAAAATCAGCAAGAAAAAAATCAAATG